GCGCCATCATTTCTAATTGGAGAGATATTGTCGTGTTGCCAATTGGCATGCAGTTATTTTATGGCAGTGCACTGACCAACCGTTAGGCAGGAATCCACGTGGATCCCACATTGGTCAACATCTGGACCCAACAGCCAATCATGACCCAGTATTGGCCAAATGTCGGTTGCCAATGGCGCTCCAGAATGCGTCAGAAATTTCAGAATGTTATAGCCGCTTACGCTATATATACGAAGCGCCGTACAACTGTTCCTGATTTCGTTTTGGACGTTAATAGACCTTGTGCACCTTTGGTGGTTGTTTTGACGTGAACGCTAGCTTGGGAGGTTCAAACCGAGAACTAAGCTGAGGAAGATACCGTTACTACAATTGGCGAACGGGAACCCACGATGTCAATCGAATTTGATCAGCTCGGAGAATTATTGCAGCAGCAACAAAAGCAGTTTGAAGAAGCGCAACTGAAGCTCACTGAATCACTGACTCAGAAACTGCATATCCAAACAGCAGCAGTCAGTAATGGTGAGTCTTCTGTTTCCTCAACTGATGCAGCCGCGGCCTCGATTACGGAGTTCACATTTGACGCTCTTTCTGGTCACACTTTTGACTCCTGGTTCAAGCGGTACGAAGACATGTTCAAAACTGATTTTTCCAAATTTGACGATGGATGGAAAGTCAGACTATTGCTGCGAAAACTCGGCACACCGGAGCATGAACGGTTCACAAATTTCATTCTCCCCAAGCTGCCCCGCGACCTCAGCTTTGATGAAACGGTCAGAACACTGTCCCAGATATTCGGCGATCAAACATCACTGTTCAATATCCGCTACCAATGCCTTAAGTTGGCCAAGAATGATGATGATGATTTCATCACGTTTGCCGGTGTTGTCAATCGAGAATGCGAGCGCTTCAAGCTCAGCTCAATGACGGAGAATCAGTTTAAGTGCCTCATTTTTGTATCCGGTCTCCAGTCATCCCATGATGCTGACATCAGAACCCGGCTTCTTAACAGAATTGAACAGGATGCCGAAATGACGTTGCAGAGCCTCACCACTGAATGCCAACGCCTCATCAACCTGAAGCACGACACGGCTATGATCGGTCAGTCACCTGTGACCTCAAGCAGCTGTGTACAGGCAATCAACTACAGCGTGCCCAGGAAATCCGACAAGAAGCCCGATCGAAGACAGGGTAAGCCTCCCACGAGTTGCTGGCATTGCGGTGAGTGGCATTTTGCTCGTTATTGCCGGTTCAGGCGTCACAAATGTTCCAGGTGCAGTCGTCGCGGCCACAAAGAAGATTTGTGTCGATCTCAAAGATTGCAGCCACCCGCACACCACCGTGCAGCCCACAAATCGCGGTCCAACTCGGTGACGGCAACATTCAAAGTTGATTTTGCTTGCCGAAGGAAGTTCGTGACGGTTCGTATCAACGACATCCCAGTTCGGTTGCAACTTGATACTGGCTCCGATATCACGCTGCTCAGTGAACGAACGTGGAAGCGAATCGGTAAGCCATATGTGAAGCCGACTGATCACTGGGCCCGTAATGCTTCCGGTGGCAAACTGAAGTTGACTGGCGAAGTGGACTGCCTCATTAACTTCAAGGACTCGACGGCACAAGCCACCTGCTACCTGACGTCATGCCCCAAACTTGATCTCATGGGGCTAGATTGGATCGAAAAGCTAAACCTGCTGGATAAACCAATCAACTCTATTTGCAACGGCATACACGCAGCACCCGGACAAATTGACTTGCCGAAGCGTTCACTTGAGCACCTCCTACAACGTTATGCGTCTGTATTCACTGACGAACTTGGACGGTGTACAAAAGCAAAAGCCAGACTGTGCCTCCTCCCTGGTGCCAAGCCAGTCTTCAGGCCAAAACGTCCAGTGCCTTACGCAGCCTTGCCTATCGTCGACCAAGAACTGGACCGACTTCAGAAGGCGGGTGTTCTCCAAGCGACCAACTACTCGGCTTGGGCCGCACCTATTGTGTTGGTAAAGAAGGCTAACGGGACGATCCGGTTGTGCGCAGATTTCTCCACCGGTCTCAACGCGGCACTGGATACCCATCAATACCCCCTGCCTCTCCCAGACGACTTGTTCGCGAAACTGAATGGGGGTAAATGTTTCGCAAAGATTGACTTGGCCGATGCGTATCTCCAGGTTGAAGTGGAGGAAGAATCCCGAGAACTGCTCACGATCAATACGCATCGAGGTCTGTTCCAGTACACTCGACTGCCATTTGGTGTCAAAGTAGCGCCGGCCATATTTCAACAGATTATGGATACGATGCTGAAGGATGCACCAGGCGTTGCCGCCTATTTGGATGACCTCATTGTCATGGGTTCCAATCCCCACGAACTGTGGCAGCGCCTTGATTACGTGCTTAGTCGTATTCAAGAATATGGCTTCAAAGTGCGCCGAGAGAAATGCACATTTTTCATGCGGTCGATAAAGTACCTGGGGTTCATTATTGACGAACATGGCCGCCGTCCAGACCCGGAGAACATTGAAGCGATCAGACGTATGCCAGCACCCACAGACGTGGCGTCCCTCAGGTCTTTCCTCGGTCTCGTCAGTCACTACAGTTCGTTCCTGCCTGCCATGCATCGCCTTCGAGGCCCACTAAATCAGCTACTTACCAAGGACCACAAGTGGACATGGTCAGAAGAATGTCAACGCGCCTTTGACTCTGTCAAATCCATGCTAAGTTCCGATTTGCTACTCACACACTACGATCCATCGATGGAAATTGTTGTGGCGTCGGACGCCTCGAACTATGGAATTGGCGCAGTGATTTCACACGTATTTCCAGATAGCAGCCAGAAAGCCATTGCACATGCGGCCAGATCCCTGACTTCAGCCGAGCGCAACTACAGTCAGATAGAAAAGGAAGCCTTGGCGATCGTGTTTGCCGTTAAGAAGTTTCATAAAATGCTTTACGGCCGTCAATTCACCCTACTGACCGATCACAAGCCACTTCTTGCTGTGTTTGGCTCGAAGAAAGGAATTCCGGCATATACTGCCAACCGGCTCCAGCGATGGGCCACTCTGCTTCTGGGGTACGACTTCAAGATAAAATACCAGTCCACTACCAGCCTGGGACAAGCCGACGCACTGTCCCGACTCATTGATTCAAGCAGGCCAGAACCAGAAGATACCGTGATCGCAACAATTGCCTTGGAACCAGAGGTTAACCACGTAGTTTCCGAAGCTGTTCGCATCCTCCCAGTGACTGCCGACATGGTCCGCCAGGCTACCGATCAAGACCCTGTGCTGCAGCAAGTCATAAAGTACCATCGCAATCAGTGGCCGCGTACCTGCCAAAAAGACGAACTAAGGCCTTACTTCAACCGGCGTGACGCATTATCACTAGCCGATGGATGCCTGTTGTTTTCAGAACGTGTGGTCATCCCAAAGAAGTTACAACCAGCCGTCCTGAATCAGTTCCATAAAGGGCACCCGGGAACAAACAGGATGAAGGCCCTTGCTCGGAGTTATGTCTACTGGCCTTTGATGGACTCCCAGATCGAGCAAGTCTCGAAATCTTGCCTGCGGTGCGCTGAAGCATCCAAGTCACCGGTGAAAACCTACCTAAGCTCGTGGCCGCAACCGACCGAACCCTGGTCTCGTCTTCACATCGATTATGCAGGTCCAGTGGGTGGCCAACACTTTTTGGTCGTGGTCGACGCTTACAGTAAGTGGCCGGAAATCTTTCCGGTGAACAGCCCCACAACTGCCATTACAGTCCTGGAACTCCGGCGATTGTTCAGTCGGTTTGGAACGCCAGAGACAATTGTATCCGACAACGGCAGTCAGTTTACGTCGTCGGCGTTCGCACACTTTTGTCGGGAGTATGGCATAACGCATATTCGCTCGCCGCCGTTTCATCCACAGTCGAACGGCCAAGCGGAACGCTTTGTTGACACTCTCAAGCGGGCACTTCAGAAGTCCAGGGGGGAGGGACCAACGGAAGAGATTTTGCAAAGGTTCCTGCTGGCATATCGAGCGACGCCAAACCCCAACTCACCTGATGGAGTATCACCAGCAGAGGCACTGCTCCGAAGGAGGCTCCGAACACCGCATGACACTATCCGGCCACAAACGAAGCAGGCTGGTCACCGCAACACCAGAATGGAGGAACAGTTCAACCGGCATCATGGAGCAACTGCGCGCGCATTCAGCGAAGGCCAGAGAGTGTTGGTTCGTGACTACAGCGGCAGACGCCCTACGTGGACCCCAGGACTCATCCTTCGCCGGCGCGGCAAAGTGCTCTACGAGATTCAAGTTGGTCCAGCCAAGTGGATACGCCACGCGAACCAGATCCGGCCGACAGATGCGCCGATCCTGCCCACAGGACCGAGTGATATGAGTCTAGAAATGCTTCTGGACACTTTTGATCTTGGCATCATTCCAGGAAGTCAATCAGTTGCTTCGTCATAGGCCCAGCCTAAGCACGAATTACAACCGCGACGCTGGACAGACAGGATCCGCAAGCCAGTGAGGCCAATGCAAGTGAACCCCCGGCTTCGAAGCTACGTCAACAAACTTCAAGGGGGAGGTGTTAGGCAGGAATCCACGCGGATCCCACCATACCGCAGGTCTTTAGGCGCTGCTACGGCCGAGAAGCCTGGCCCGCTCGAGGTTGGCCCAACATTCGGGACGCTTGACGGTCCGGCATCAAAACGAGATCTGATTGGTCAACAATCTGGACCCAACAGCCAATCATGACCCAGTATTGGCCAAATGTCGGTTGCCAATGGCGCTCCAGAATGCGTCAGAAATTCCAGAATGTTATAGCCGCTTACGCTATATATACGAAGCGCTGCACAACTGTTCCTGATTTCGTTCTGGGCGTTAATAGACCTTGTGCACCTTTGGTGGTTGTTTTGACGTGAACGCTAGCTTGGGAGGCTCAGACCGAGAACTAAGCTGAGGAAAATACCGTTACTACGCTAACACAATAACAATGACTTTATTTACCAACCTGTAGGGAACATGCCAATAGAGTCAGGCCTGAATCACCACGACCTGAACGCAGCGAGCAACAAAACAACGGGGTGGAAACTACAACCGAAGAGGTATGCTCGTTACATGATCAGCCACCGTAGTTGTGGGAATCGAAAACTAGAATAATGAGTCATGAAATACGACTGGTTGAGTGATGAAGTTGACTTAAACTAAAAGTGAAAAATCATTGCCGACCATTAATTGTTGTACTTATCAGAGGAAGTGGATCATACACTGTGGTGCATTCCATCAACAACACAGCTTGTTGCATCGAATTCCCTTCCATTTTTATACTGAATAGGAGGCGAATCTTCCCCAAACATGTGTTGTTTGGACTTTCGTTGAGCAGATTCATCTAATTTGATACGTTTGGTTGGTTGTACGCATTTAAAGGTTGGCCTAGTATTTTTCCAGTTTCAATTTACCAAAAGTATTCCGTGGATATTGCCTGGTTCGTAACGATCACCGCAGGATGCTGACATATGCCCACTTTAGATTTCGTCCCCTATATCGTAAAGCAACTGCAGAATGCGAATAGGCAACAGTCGATATCCTTGAACGTTTGCTCACTTAAACAAAATGCCATGAGCAATACGTTACCTAAGCATGCAGATGGATAAGACAAACTCCCCGTAAAGGTCCCAACCCTGAAAACCTCACAATTTCACCTAAGATGAATTCGGTCTACTATTAGCGAGCGCCTTTGCGCTTACGTTTATCGCTAACTCAGATCGCTTCGCCGTTCTATCGGGGTTTTCTTTGAACTTACTTCGACTTTTGCACTAATTTAGTGGAAATCCCCGTAATTTGAGCATTATATACTTTTATTATACGTATTTTTCCTACGTGTGTTATCCCATTATGTTGGTAAATCTCCAGACTGCAATCACGGGCTGCTGATTTCACGCGTTCTGCAACTGAACTCTCCCTACTGCGTTCTTTGCCTTCTGTCTGAGTTGGTTTTAATATAAGCTCTTCATCTAGCCTGTTTGGTCACCTCGAAGAACTAAACTAGGCACATGCCAGCAGATGTTTCAACTGTCTAAGCGTGGGCCTATGTTGGCCCTGTCATGTCCTCAAAGTCATTTGGTAATAAGCTACTTCCACAGGTCCTCCTCAAGGTACCGCATTCTTACAAACCCATTTCCATCTAGGCAAAAGACGTTATCCTTTAGGATACATTTGACTGAGTACCAGTCCCCACAAAGCCACAATGACTGAGGACGCATTTATTACGCGCTCGGCCAAGTAAATAGCACAATAAACCAAATGATCCTTACTGTTGAAAATTGTTCACTTTCCCGAGCTGCTTCTCCACTCAGAGATACTTGTGTTACTGTGAGTCTTCTCAACCCAAAACATTGTGCACCACTGCAAAGGTGCTCGCTTCAGAAAGCCAAGACTACACTCACTGTATTCATCTATGTCGGACAGAAGCTGTCGCACACTTTATTCGTTTGTATCCACCAACCGCGTTTCTCTACACAGGTAAAACTCAAGCGACTACCAACAACGTGCTCCTCACTATCGATTAACCTGTTTAGACTGCCTAATATTTTACTACCTCTCCGTACTACTTATCACCAGTTCCACACACATACTCGAGATGTGCTCTTATTTATCAATACATCCTCACCAACACTAGTGCAGTTAGGGCATATCTCCGTCCCCTGTGCCGTCCGATTTCAGTTCCATTGCCATGTATACAAACGACACCCCTGTTTCTCAGAATAAGCCGCTCAAATTCCAAAACACAAGCATCATTCGCGTTGTAGACGATAACCATTTCTGTAAAACTAGAATGTCCCAAGTAAGCATTCTTCTCAGGTGTTTGTGAATGAGACCATTCATAATGTGACTAAGTCTCCAACATCCTACCGGTCCTAGCAATCAATTTCTGTGTATCCACCCAGTTTTATTTTTTTATCGATTTGCGTAGAGGCGTAATCACCCCTCTGTATTTCTATAATTTGCACCATTTTCAAGTGGAACCATGGTCGAACGTGTTTAAATGGTAATTTGTTACCTCTAACATTTTCTATGCATCACTATGCCATTCACATCTTTTTGGTCGTAGCCGATGAATCAGTGGAATGCCGTTCGTTGTAAATAGATACTTTTGAAACATTTGTGCTGTGTCTCACAAGTCAGTTTTGTCTACGGTACCTAAATATTAGCGTGGTCTGCCTTCAGAGATCGTGGAGAATGTGAGGTCCAAACTCAACTCTACTGACAGCGCAGAAGTTAGTCATAGCGGTACTGTGCTTGGAAACGTCTGCTACGGAAATCGGTTTTCGGGCAAGAGCAGCTTAGGATCAAGAGCTCGTGAACGAAGCCAAGAAACAGCTGGTCAGAGCTAGCGACGCCCGTACTAAACCTAAGTGATTTTTGCCCAAGGTTCATGATAAGTTTCTCATTCTCCCACTAGAGAATGCACTAACTGATCGGCTTCTAGTTGCCTCTGTGCTCAAACCGGAAGTGGTGTCTGGTAATGGCCTCACACATACATCTTTCTCAGCCTCGTTAGCTGTGTGCTAGCGAAGAGGAAACATGAAGATGTTCAGCGTACAACACACCTCTTGCGTTATTGCAAAGACTCTACCTAAGCATTTGGATGGTGTACACTCCACGGCGCAGATTTATGTCGGAAAAATCTGTCGGCTACTTAGGACAAGGCTCGGACACTCTCATCGTAATCCCGGCCTTGATTCAGGGTAATATAGAAGGACCGGTCTCGACAAGGACAAAGAGGTGATCAGTGATCGCTAAACCTGGCCAATGTAACGACTTGGTAGGGTGGACAACTACAATTGCTGTAAAAGTATAGTGCTGTAGTTACCTGGCTACAGTATTCAATTCAGACAGAGTGAATTCACTTCACAGAGGACCTCATGGAAAGGGGCGAGGCCCTTTTTGTCGAGTTTCGCATTATATCAGCCAGGTACATGTTCTATATGGTCGCAGGCTCTAATGCAATGGTTTCTCAAATTGGATTTCACACGATCGATTTTCTGCCGGGTGAAAACATGTTTTCCGTAAATTGAAGAGTTGAAGCATTTTTGTTGGTAAACACGATCAAGAACTCCGCACCTATTGAGGCAAGATGTGTTGGTGCTGACCGGTTACGTTTGGATTTCCGCAGCCTAATCGAACGGCTTAAGTATGTGAAATCTTCACAAAATTTTAACACTGTAGTTGAGGCAGAGGGCATGACAAACTGATGCGTCGTGCTGAAGTGACTGAATGACTGCCTTAGGCGCTTGTGGCGAATTGTCGAGCAATGCAAGCTTGTCGGATTATGTCATGGCATCCGGCAACAATTCTTCGAAAAATATTATCTTGTGAGGCACTGACACAAATTATAAGCTCATGGGTTATGTGTTTTTATTTCGTGAAAGTGATCAGTTATTTCAGCCGATATCCAGATAACATTAGTGAAAATTCGCGTTTCAGAATCTGTCAGGTGAGATGGATTTGGATAGCATGACTCGGGTTAACAGAAGGGTGTATCCACTAAATCTGAATCCTACTTTTGGCAGTGTCAAAATATTCGTAGCGTGAGTGCTGATCAGTTTGTGGCTGATTTTTTCGCTGACAACGGCAACTTGCTTGAAAGGCCCCCATCACCAGTTAGAGGTTACCTCGGGTAGGCGGCCAATCCTTTTCATGCTCGCATCTACATAAACTTTAGACTCCATAACCTGTAAGCTAAAAAAGAGTAGATTCACGACCTTTTTCAGCCCCCTAGTTTTGAGCAGCCTGCTACAACGTGTGTCTTAGCCGTTCTCTCCTTATAAACAACTTTTGTCGATATTCCGATCGCCGCTTAAGGCCAATAAAAATAGATGGTATTTTATAGTTTTTTAAGGCATGTAGCGTGATCTCAAACCGGAAAACCAAATAGTATCCAAAACTTCGGATCCATGCATGAAGAAAGCTGTATAGCTTTATAGGTAAGATTTCCAGAAAACGTACTTCAACGGTAGAACATTTTACTGCAGTTGCGCGTTGGAAATAGGCGTAGCCAGCTACATTCTGAAGCTTCTCGGAATCACCCTATTTGAGTATCTGCATTTCGTTTGGATGAAATTTTCTCTTAACTTTATCCTAGTAGTTGAAACCTCAGTTATTTGGTTGCAACGGTTTTTTGGGTACTCAAATTGTAAACTCCTCCGTGCCCATTTTGTGGATGGCCTGCGTATTGTCAATGGCATTTATCTGTATCAGCGGAAATGATTGGATTGAAGGATACGTTAGTAAATCCCACTCAAGAATAAATTAGTTTCTGATCACCTCTTTTCCCATCCCAAGTGTCGTGTATGACGCAAATCTCAACTAAATACTTGCACAATTGAACACACCAGGACTGGCTACACAAGGAGACTGTATCGTGGGAGATTAAGAAGTAATGTTGATTAGTCTGTGCATTCGAATAGCTTTTTCCAGTGGTTTCAACAGGCGTCAACAGTAATTTACTAATAGCTTTTGAAAACTGAGAACACAGGTGGAAATAACTTTAATAGGCCTGAACAGTGTATGAATTGATACAACATATAAGAAACAAGTTCCAACAGTATAGGTACAAGCCTCCACTCACTCCCTCGGTGTTCGACAATAGGGACAACAACCCATCCGTAGAACGGCCAGCTCGTAGTCATCAGTGTTGAACAACTTTGAAGGGTATGCAACAAAGACAGAAAATTATAAAGTAAGTAAACTAAACATAACGTCAACTCTCGAGTTTTCGAGTGAACTGCATCTCCAGGGGCATGCGAAGCTATGTCTAAAAAAATGCGTAAACTCATACTACCCGTGAAACCTAGTTTTGAGTTTTCAAATTTTTTCAAATTTTTTTCCGTAACAAAGGAGGGTTCATTTTATATAGGACAGTCCATCTAGTTTTCTTTCAAAAGGGGTTTTTTTCTGTACGTGTTTCGTCTATAAGTGCGTTTCAATACCATGAGTTTATTTGGAATTAAGATTCAACCTCCAGAAATGCACAGTCAAGTTTCTTGGAAATTTCAAAAGAAATCATCCTTCACCATTTCCTTCCTTAGTCGACGAAGGCTGTTTTGAATGATATATTACGATACAATTTAGCCACAGTTGCAAAAGACTGACAGTATTATAACATTCAGCTGTGAGATGGTAGACGATCCCTCCAGCTAAGTTAGTAAACGCGACAGTAAGTATTCCCTACGTTGGTTAAAGTTGTATGAAGTCATGTTAGTTGAGGTCGTTTTACGAAACTTCATTACTCACGTATCCTGGTTGAAGATGATGCTTCATGAGCTAAAAACACTATTTTCGAACCATTAATCAAGTTGGTTTTGTCCTCAAAATAAATCTGGCCCAATCCCCATGATAATTTAAGGGAGAAAAAAGATCAAGGTGCCAGAAATTCATCGGTATCAAGATGTCGACAGTACACTCTACCACACTGGATGACTACGAGTGAAAAGGCGATTACGATACAACTAAGGTACCGGAAAACCCCACCAACAGGCCAAACGTAGCATAGCAAAAATTCTGCATTGATTAGTATTCAGTATATTGCATGCGCAATGTGTTAGATGAACCTGAGGACGACCAATCGCACTCTCAGAGGAGGATCAGTCAGCGAGTGACAATAAGCGGATGACTGGTTTCAAGATCACTGCAAAAGTCGCATGTCAATCAGCGGGAATTTAGAAAAAAAATAAGCTTCTTGGTTCCAGTGTGTAACCAATAATTACCTATCACTGTAATAGAATCATATTTTAAACTGTATTAACTACGAATAGCACACCTTAAAATACATGACGAAACGTGATTTTGTAGCAAAAAATAATACTGAAACTAGGGATTTTGTGGGTTTCCCAGAAAGAACACTTTTAAAGAGGGTCATCCTATTTCTTCAAAATGCGAACATATTTCTTCTCAATAGCTATGCAAGAAATAAGTTGAACTCCGTTCATACAAACACTACAACTGTACGACCCAAAGAAGCCTCGCCTAGAAATTCGGTAGGAGCCTTCTGGAGTTACATAGGGGAAATCCCAACATGTGGCAAGGGCTTTTGCTGGTGTCAACTCAGTATTTGATGTGGATGGCATCAGGAACGTTCTACCACGACAACGGCGCGCAGTTAGATGACACAGAGAGGCTGAAGTAGCAAACTGCTCGACTAGTCTTCTGAATGCTTTTGTTCATTTGGTCTAAGGCTGAAAATTTCTCGATGGTCCACTGCTCATACAATTAACTATCCGGGAAGTGACTCACTTTGTGACAGGTTAGGCACTGCGTAACGTGCACTTCAGGTAGGACGGATTTGTAGTATCGTGGGCGCAAAGGCGGAGATGGTTCGATAACAATGACTTCCGAGACCGCAAGTGATCGGAGAGTCTCAGCGTCCAGCTGCACGGGTGTGTACGGCCCAGAATTCAGCTTTGGGAATAAGATGAAAGAACTTATCCAGAAGATGCTCCAACACAAACTTGTGACAACCAAAACCAAAAAAGTGATTTTTGGTTGTATAATGTATTCACCATTTTAGAACAGTAAAGGGTTTTCGACTCCGATCAGCTTTTGCACGCGTTAACAGCCTATGTATCACCGCAGCGGGTTTCCTGTAGCCGCATTATAGAACCGCATATGTTCGGCGCAAAATACTTCCTGCGCTATCACTTTGGCTCACACAAAGCTGTGGACTTACGCTCACCGTTCACACTAAATACGCTAGGATAGGCGCCAGTCAGTCTCGCTCTTTTGATTTATACATTTTCGAGCGTGTTTGGTGTTGGTTAGGTCTGAAGGATTTGGATAAGTAGGATGAGAAAGACTGAAATTTTCATGTTTTGTAGCCAGTACTGCCACAGCTAGAGATACATGTATTGCGAACAACCAGAAAGGATTTTGCTAGAAGTGACTCCTGTTCGTGGAACACCAGTCAAAAAGTGATAGAAGCATCTCCGACAGTCCACGACCGGTTTGACACTCCTCCAGGGCTCATCGGAGAATCGCGATCTTTGAGTTCTTGTCAACCCTTCATCCTACTTGAACCTAGACTGCACAAATTTCACGAAACACGCTCACTATTCACGCCGATTTGGTTTTCATGAAAGACTTGACTGAATTCCTCGTTTGTAGTACTCCTCAGCTGGATGTATTACACGGTGTTAACAACTACACCGACTGTGAGAACAGGCTTTCGAAACGCTTGCAAATATTACATTGTCTTCCTAATGTAGATCTGATTAATTGATAAAGAGGATTCTACGTGAAGGATCAATTCCTCATAGCAATGGGTTACATTCTCAGGAATAAAACCTGTGTTTTGGAATAAAGGTAGAACAAGGTAACGCTAAGTACATTTCGTTGGTTTAGGATGCTGATGACAATGACATCCATGCTTTTTACATAAGGTTCTAAGATCCTCATCTCACAGCTAACGTGATTCTGAATGGTAGCGCCAATTAAAACTGAGCGGTTTATATTGTACTTAAAAAATTAAATGCTATCACTAGTGAAAGTGATAACTATCATAAAGTGAGACAAATTACACCGGAAATTTCACTGGTGAAAACTCGCATGACTGTATGGCTGACGGACAATTACAATGGATTGCATTGGTGTTATGTTGCTTTTGTGTAAATACAGAAATTTCGAACAATGTGCTGTCAACTCTGAGCAAACTGAATATGTTAGATGTGGTAATTCGATTGGTTAGACTGGCTAAATAACGACGGTAACCTTTCGGCTATAACGCCGTTTCGTGTCCTAGCTACGATACCACTCAAAGAAAATACGAGAGCGGAGACACTACCAGGTTGCCCAAATCTAAGCAGGGACACTGGAGATATCAGGGTTGGTTTTAAACTACGGACCTTCCAGTCACTAAGTTTGCGCACTCAACCACTGGTTAAGTCATTTGAAACCAGTGCAATAAAACCAATCAACAAGTTGCCAGCATTTGGCTCGTCTGTTCGAATATCTTAAAAATGCTATCTGGCATCTGGAATCCGAGACCTGAACCATTGGCTATTCTAAGAGTACGATCACCGACTGTCTTCCTTGCAGCTAGGCTTGTTGATACCAGCGTACACACAAGCAATACCAACGTAAACAGAAACAATGTAGACACACGTCGGAAAGTCAACTGCATGGTTTAAATCATATATACAGTGCAGATTATCAGCTCTGTCAATAATTTGGTGACTTATTCCGCCAAAATGGTTTTGCAGTTTTGTTTTGAACACTCAAAATAGTACATTGTGGCAGTGGTAGGTAGTTAAGTCTATCGGGAATCAATCAACTCACAACTGGAATAGCCACTTTATCTTTTAACGGTGCAATAAATATCCAAAAAATCAACTTGTTAGCGGAAATAAAGCAGTGTTTTTCCGTTTGCTTCCTAGCCAGACTGATACCCTGCGACCTGATCTTCCTGTAGCTTAATCAAGTCCGTGAATCCCACGGTTAGTCTTAAAAAGTTAAGGAGATCAGGAGAAGATCATACGTACATGCGTTGCAGATCAGTATCTACTATCAGCGTAGCCGAACAAGACCGAAATTTGACCTTGGTTTTCAAAGAAGGCCTGTGGTCCACACAGCATTTTATTTGTTAGCAAAAAAGTGGGGGAATCCAAATTTGTCAAGAGAACTCCTTATTTTCCACAGATTTCTAATCAATCAGAAATCAAGCCAGATTGTACAACATCGTTACTCTAATCACTTGACGTGAGTAAAAACCCTCCATGGTTATTCCTCGCTGCTACACATTATGATGATTATTGCTGATTGTCTTCAAGCTCTTCTGCAAATGTGTGGAAAACAAACTAACTGAGAGTGTACAACTCCCACTTGAGAGGAGACAAAAGTTTCTTTTTGGGGTCATAAAGTTTCGCGACTTTATAAACCCGCTGTGCCAACGTTCTCCAGTTTTCCCAATCAGCTGGAACTTAAAACCAGTAGGTAGCCAGCTCAGCAATTTTATGAGGCTGTCCCCGTAGATCTGAGAGTCGGGTGGTTCACCCAGAAGGTATAAGTAGAGCTGAGTTTTGCTCATTATCTCAACACATTATCGGTCGTTTCGGGGCATAGAGTGCTAAGAATAGTACTCACACTTAGCCAGCATAAAGTGAACGCTACGAAGATATCGCATGCGAACATTTCTGAGTGATGTGCACTGTTTGTTAGATCCCCGTTGATTCTTCACTGCATTTACGTGTTTGTGCAACATAATGAATTGTTTTGGTTATCAAAGAGCTAGTACGCAGCACTTTTCGATATCACAATCATAGTTTACCCAAAATGGATTCAGGATAGCACTACTCCTATTTCAGTTACGCCGTTTTCGATAGTTCCTCCTGGAAACAAGGAGAATCAAGAACATATGAGGCTAATTAGACAAGAACTTTGGCTCATCGATACTCACGTCTGCATTCAGCAACTTGGCGGTGAAAAGATCCTGTTCAAAGAATGGATCTCCGGGGGAAATTTTTAAGGTTTGTGAGGCTGAAATGCAACGAATAGTACGTCTTTTGAGAAGAAAGCTAAAAAACTGTAACTTATTAACTTGGTGAACTTTGAATAGCCTGTACGAATCCGCGGGGACGAAATCTCATGCCTCCTTATATGCACATGCTGGCTCATCGGCTTCACTAAATCTTTTTTGGCTGAAATCTCTAGACGTTGCAAAGGTGTATAATCAACACTACTCAGTACATTCTCTTCGGGTTCAATTCGCTTCTAGCAATGAATATAATCACCACTCATAGACCAGATAGGAATACAAAAGTACAACATGATTCGGTATATCACAGTAACTTATCTAATATATTTAAATATTATATTCTGGAATATTTTGTACAGACGTAAAGAAGGTTTCAGCTCCTGAAGCGAGGTTCGCAGATGAGAAGGAAGAAACCTTTTTATTGTCAGACTTCTGTTATCTGTTAATCGTGAGTAAATTATCCAGCTCATCTGGGCCTTCTCAAGAACTCCGGATAAAAAGTTTGCAAATCCTTTCATGGGATCTCCGAAAAAAGGAGTGAAAACCCTGAGCGACCAAAAGGAATGTACTGATCACGAGTATCACCCATCGGCAGTCCATATTCCTGATGGTACTCGTCGTCTGACATGCGAGGTGGCCGCGTTATCACCACTCCACCAACGCACACACTCGAATAAGCACGTCTAAACAGGCATACATTTTCTTACTTCGGCAAACGTGAGGTCAATAACTCGAATCTGCGTCCAGGTTTCGTGCAGATTACCCAACCATTTAATGGATGGGTAATCATAGGTAGAATTATATCATTGCTTCCAATCAGGTATCATTACAGGTAGAATCTGATTTATATCAGTTGATTCATAACCCATCAGATTGAAGCCTGTGTAGATCCACCACTAAAAAGGCACGTCCAGTTTGAACTACAGTTCACCGGCAAATATCAACAAATATGCTAAACAGACAGTATTCCATCTGAACGGCAGCGTGGTGAAAATTAGACCCCGGGGTGTGCACCGCACAGGACTTGTTACACAGATGAACCATTCTTCTTCCAGAAGACTAGTTACGTTTCAGTAGAGCCAAGTGCAGTTGGATAGTGCACGGGGAAATGAAAATGCAAGCAGAACTAAACTAATTAGAATCGCATGTTCAATATGAAAATCGAATGGAATCACACCGTTCTCCGCCATCGACCTTATAAACTGCAAGCCATCTGACCAAGTGACAGCCTCGCACTGATCCAGCTATTTTCAGTTGAGATTCCGAAAGCAGCAAACTTTCGAAGTTTGAAGAAATTAGCTGTTTCCGAAAACAAAATCCAAATCTGTGTAAACGAAAGCGGCTTTTCGTTTTGCATGCCCAACCACCTTCTACCGAGCCAGTGTTGGCAAATTAAACACAGAGGACAGACCATTACATGGCAGTTAAAGTCAAATCCTTCACGGAATTTTCGCGCCTTCCATTCTTGGGCTCGAATAATTTTACTTGCATGTGGTTAGAAACCCTGCAGGACGTGACACGCAATCGATTCAAGTGACACGCATGGTGTTAATTCCTAGCTAGGCTACCTAACTAAGGTTCGCTTGTTGCCCTACACCGAGCCTAAGTAGGGTGAAATTCGCAAAAGTTGCTGAGTCACTCCAGCTCATGGCGCTTCAATGCGACATGATAGCTTGAGTTTTGTTGTTCAGTTCTTATCAAGGGGTGGGCGTCTTACTTGTGATAGTTTTCTGACACAAAAAAATACACCATATCAAATATGAATTCCACGGTTTGCGCACTCACCATTATTCTCTGGGTTCGCTGCTGTGTGATTGTATTTTACGGAATCCGGTGATTGTTTTCTTACGTCAGATTTCAAGTACTCCATAGCCATTTCATGAGAAATACCATTTTCGGGCACAAATTCAACAAGTGGGAGTTGTTCTAGATAACACAATATAGGCATGACATCTGTACAAACGGCATTTTTCGATTAGCAAACAAACTAAGAGCAATCAGAAGATCACAACATGCAAAGCACACACAATTAAAGTGGACTAAATAATCAGAAAACAATGAAAATGACTGTCACCAAAAGAAAGGCATTGAGTAGAGGTGTGCTGAAAGAGTTTTATGTCAGTGACTTGCTCCGCGTCCGCTGTCGGCCACAGCAGAAGTTTATATGGAATACAAGACCGGTGCGAACAGCAAAACGATATTTTCTGAACAAAAAACATAATGAATATGTGTTGAAGTGGAAAATGCCTGCAGATCAACATTCAACCTTCATTGTTCACATGTCAATGCCTTGATTTGGAGGATTAGTGTACGCACTTTCAGAGCCATTCGATTGGAAGTGTGCATGATGGGCTACCATGTCCGTCGTAAAATGCACCCTCTGGGTGGATGATGGATCAGTTTAAAGCTAGAACATCTTGTAATTTACATGGATCATTGATTTTAACATTTGAAAAGGTTGGATAAAATTTCCTCGAGGGGACTCACCACTACTCCACTTGCTGCTCATTAAGATCGTCGGCTTTTTAAATAATCTAAACGATGGGTGGACGAACAAGTAGTTAAGTGTGGCTCCGAAACACAAGCATCGAAGCTGGCTACTACACGCATCCACTTTTCGTGATCCGCTAGTAATGGGATAAAAATTGTTGTTATCTGAAGGAGGACCTTTAAAACACTTACCGCTCAAATCGACAGACAGACACCGAATCAGGTGTGCTTTAATGTTCACCACCATGGCACTCATTCGTGCACACAGTTTACCTTCCTGCTCTCGACTTCCCCTCACTCTCGATTACAAAAATCTTCATATATGATCAGTGTGAATGACAACCAAACTGGGTAAACCGATCCGATTCGTACGCATAAGCGCTTTCTTGTGCCCAATCTTTGTTTGACTGATTCAGTTCATCCTACCGGATCAACAACAGTCATCAACCTAGCTGGCTGCAGTAAACTTGTCTATTAGTATCCCAATCCTAGAAATCTGGGATATATCAGTGTATCAAAACCGATGGTCTGATACGTCCCCAAGTTTTTAACCGTCTCGCAAGGAAGAAACTAGTGTTCATGATGGATGCTTCAATCCTTAGGCATACCGTATCAATAGCCTGATCACTTCGGACATGGTGAAGATGCAAGGAAAAAAAACTGGCTTGTGAACCATTCGGTAGCACACCAGAGAACGCTCAAAATAAGCGAAACAACAAACAAGGATCCCGATCAACGACAACAAATGCTCTTACTGAAGGGTTGTGTGCTATCTGCGGACATCTTTAACAGTGTGGATGATATTTCCAATCGAAGTTTTCGGGCTGAGCATATTTCGGGTACTATTTCAACTAATGATTTCATAAGTCTCTACATCATAATTTTTTCATGATATTTTCTGTGATTGGAAAGGTGAAAGAGGACAGCCCTGTCTGACACCACTTGATGTGGTGAACTCAGGAGAAATCGTCGCGTAGACCTTTACACGGCCGAGGAAGTTGAACAGTTTGGTCACAGATCTCAGTATTATTCGTCAGTCGTCTGCAACTTTCGCTCAGAAAACTGATCAATCGTCCCACGTCCAAGCACCATTTTGAATAACATCTAATTTCTGTGTGAAATCAGTACCTGTCATACAACTTGCTACTTACAAGCACGTCTTCAGGGCTTATGAGACGAGCAGGTATAATATGGCACTGACATGACATACATGGACAAAACTAATAAACGTCAATGTAACAGACATCAAAATATCACATACCCATTGAAATGAAAGAGAAGACAAACGGTTCTCTGCAGTTTATACACCGGTTTCCAGAATTGCTCAACAGAGGGTTGGTAGTGGAACAGCGGTAGCACATGACATTCAAATCCTACACAAAAATGATAAAGGCAAGCAATGCTGATCGACAAATCTGAAAACAAGACTACTGTTCCCCGTAAAACTATATGCGGAAATCATTTTGTGTGTGCATTATCCATTCGACGGTCATGCGTACATAACGACGTAACAATCAGCTATATAATGATTTCCTCAAAACCCAGTTGTTAATTCCTGAAAAAAGTGGCGCGATCCGTGTGTCTGACAACATCCAGGCAAAAAGTCAAAATGTTTGATAAGGTACAAGCATGCAAAGTACTTACCACCTGCCGATATTTGTGAGAAGCTTCGGAATCAAATCACACAGAACAGTTCACCACCATTCCTTGGTGTTAGTGTTGGCGGCATATATAGGATATCAAATTCAGTAGAAACTGAATATTTTTTGTCCTCTAGCAACTATATTTCAAGCCCATTCGAAATATAATGTAACACCTGCAAACTCAATCATGAAGTTTGGCGAGGGTCACTCGTCGCAGCTGCATTTACATAAACCAGAGGAAAGGTGCAATAAAAAGTTGGCTATTACGTGACAAATTTTTGTAGGAGGGGCCCGAAATTAGGTCAGCAAAACAGAAAAATTTGGACGACCCAAAGATTGCTCTCAGATGCTCAAACGCTTACCAAGTTTCTTAATGGTTACAGACCCCCCTAGACAACGCGGAAAGTATTACTTATATGGCAAGCTTTTGGACACTTTGTGTCTGTCTACTGGAGCTACATCGGTGAACTCACGAAGTTCCGGAGTGATGCAAACTATAACCAATGGAATAACTTAGATATGGACCTGAAACCCAGAACAGGGACTTTGATTTCTGAGCTTGGAGTGAAAAAAGTCGAAGAGATTATAGTTCCCTTAAACGCCAATCCAATGCAAGTTTATACAAGAAACTACGTGATTCCAATACACTATTTTGTACAGGCCTTTATGCTCCATCAGGAAACATTGTGGTCAGCAAGCCAAGCTAGAAATGCCTACGACTTAAATAGCCATGCCAAGTCAATTTCAGTAGAGGGTTACTCACTTCCGAATCCACACAGCGTTTTGCACGTATACTCAAGCTGGCCAGTTCGATCTTGTCACGGATGTCTGGTGGCAAGTGCAAATGTTGCAATCGGTCATACACACCACGCGCCAGTTTGAATGCACCCAATGCGCGTCCGTGTTTGGCTAATGTGTGGAGAATTGACCTGAGCGACCGGCAAGTGTGGTCAAGGATCATGGCTTGAAAGAGTCTGCTCAAACCGACTGGCATTAGCACCATTTAACTGAAGAACATGTATATATAGATTCTTATAAACGAGGAAGAGCAGCCCAACGAAAGGCTCACTGAGACGCACGAGCTTGACGGGACGACGCCAACTCGCCCATCCAATCCGAACTAGGTGGTGATCTTGCAAACTTTGGACACTGGTAGTTTTAGTAACTTGTAAGCTTGACCAAATAAAAATCAAGAGGCTGCCAAGTTTATTTAAATCGTCAGTCAATGCACTAAGTTCCGGAAATCGAGCAAAAGGATACACCTTAGATACTGCTGCAACATCGCTAGTCTGGAGCGTGTTGACCAAGTATCTTGCCATGTTGAAGTAAGTTTCCGTCATTTGTGAAGAAAAGGGTTCGTGCTGTAAACCAAGGTGTAAAAATGCATTAAAACAAGCAAGATTTATCAGTGGTTTCATAAAAAATGTTGCTCCCAAATAGAACAGATTCGAGTTAGAACGAAGCACTCACAAGTTAATTACATAGAGTAAAGCTTAGCATAGCAGCGAAAAAATTCAGTGGAACTAGCATTGAGAAGCTCTTTGATCCAACAACTTAAGAACTTTACACCATCCAACTTCAGTTTGCCATTTCGCTTCCATGCTTTTGCTACAGGGCTGATTATACTGGAGCTGATACATCAGTGCCTAAATACTGCACTGTCAGTGGACTGTTAAGTGAGGGAATCGTGTGGGGAGCTATGCTTTGAAAGCAATAGCCTGGACGCTTGAGTGTCATTGAGGGCACAACTGGGCCGTGTCTGACATTGTCTCCAACCATTGATGTGGCCCGTCTCGGGGTCCCCATCCTTTCGGTGCCTAACTGCCATGCCATCCGAAGGAAGCACGAGGGCTGTGATACTGCCAGGTTGCCCAAGCCTAGACAGGGGAAGTCGAGTGGCAGAAGTCGGGTTCAAACCACGGACCTTCCGGTCAGTAAATTCGCGCTCTAACCACTTGGGCCATCTCGCCCCATCCAGGATGACGGCAATGACCAGGGCAGCTGAATTTGCTGGTAATTGGTTTTATACTTCGCTGCCAAGTCATTGACCGCCTCCAGCTCGTTTTCACCCTTCACCTGGTTGTGCGAAAAGAGCTCTTCGAGGAAGGCAGTCGACTGGCATACGGAGCACGTGGCCAAGCCAGCGCAAACTATGCAGTGTGATCGGTTCATCTATCGAGGGTAAGTTATTTCTCCCGAATACCATTCGACGTACTTCAGAATTACTGATCCGGTGTTCCCACCAGATTTGAGCAATGCCCCCGCTTCCATTGCGCAGCTACCTACCCCACCTCCCCAAGTGATCGGTGGACGAAACTGTGGCAGCTATAGTCACTGTACGATAAGTACGTGGTTATCACAGGTGACAATGATGATGATTATGAATATATTGGACCTCACGAGAAGCCAGTCCTCTAAGCAAGATTTGGACTAGTGAACACTAATATACCTAGCCGGACGAATTTATTTGTCGCATTGGTTTAATGTGCTGTGTGCTGCTAATGTGATTAGGGTTCCTGAAAGCGACTCGAAAATACAGACGCCTCAATTTAGCTCGTAAAAATGGATTCCCGTTCGCAGGGCTGTGAAAACATTCAATAAGGACACAATAAGCCTATTTATATCAAGTGTAAAATAGTGGTCAAAGCACTCACTATATATCGGTGTATGTTGGAATAAACGTAATAGATGTCGGCTTTCCTTTGCAAGTCGTAATACTTCTCCAAGTGTTGCCTCCGCTTTTTTGCATCTGAGGGGTGAAAAAGCATGATTAACTTTGATTCAAGCATAATTAGCACGGGTGTTGCCGTTTTTGTTGCCTTTAAAGCATGCTCATGATATCATCCGTAGTTAATAATCTACATAAAAAATACATGATCAAAGCTCACATTTACACCAGCAAAACTCGAGCCTCTTAAAACGACTTCGTTTCTCACACCACACCTATGCACCTGGATAAATACAAGTTACAGGACAAGCAGACTAAAGCCTTCTAGATCCAAATGTAGGGCTACTCAACTGTCCGGTGAAGAAAACAGCCTAAAACCTGGACCTCATTCGAGAAGGTTGATGTCATTTGCCTGCAATTACCTGCCTTCTACGGGCTCCGTTTACAGAGAGCTGACTCTGATACTTTTCCTTGAGCAGCAACACTCTGGGATATTATTAGGGTCACTCCATCCCTACACAGGAGCCAGCCATCAGAAAGTAAGGAATTAAATGAATTCGCTTTTATTCACAGGAACTAGAAGCTTATCCATTCGAAAACCGTTCTTGCTATTTTCAGGGCTTGTACGCACACAGAGGCACTGCAAGCAGCAGGTATCGAATTGCTTATAGTACTCTTGCAATTGTGCTGCCAAGCAAAACGAGTGGAAAAAACTTTTGCCACATATTCACTGAAGCTCAAATCCCTACTGCCAGCTGCACACTCTAGTGTTAAGAACCACAACGGTCACCTGATCTCCAAAGTTACTAAAAGCGGTACAGCAGGCAAGACTGTCAGAGCAGCCATTTCGACAACCGTATTCCAGATCTAAATTAGTGACCACCAGGTTGATCACGCACTGAATCCCAGGGCACCAAGGTCTAGACAAACAAACATTCCATCCTATCGAAAGGAGCGCGCGTACAGTGACCCAGAGTAGAGGAATGCATGGACGGAAGTTTTTTGTCTTCGAACAATGATTCGGAAGTAAAATGTTATCAGCTGACTAACTTATTTGACTTAGCACAACCCACTGTTAAAACTTACAAGTTTGGTTTTGCGGACATCTTTAAACATCTAAGCATAGGCAATGAAGTTCAGCATATTTATCTTGAGAAGACAGCTCTATCAAGTGAAATCGACGAACCAGATGGAGTCGAATTCATTAAATTGGCACCCATGTGAGCACACTATCTGAGTTAGGAGTGCTTCACAATATCCTGCACACTGTGGGCAATCTAACCACAACATAGGAACCTGTTTGAATGAATATAAAGACGTTCGATATAAAATTGGTCCATCAGAAGTGCGTGTATTGCGCTACATATCCATTATCGCAGCTGAAACGGTTTTTTATTACTCAATCCTGCATATTATTAGAGTTGTCTTCCTTAGAAAGCGACCCTGCTGACGGCTCAGCTAACATCACCACATGCCACGATAAGGACAGAACAACAAGTGTCGAACAACTTTTCATAGACATTTTACTAAGAGTGATTTTCGTTTTGCCGATGTGATATAGGCGTGACAATTTTTAAAACATTAACGTGTCAATTCAGTCTGAAAAACTCCACCTGTAACAATCGAGCGCGAGTTCCGCATTCTGATTTTTGTAAACCTCAATGGTAATGCTTAATCCAGACAGACAGGTTCTTGGTATTTTACCTTTGATATTGATGGGATCTTAAACAGTGGAAGCTCAAATTAATTGGGGCTATGTCGTTTACTGACCACGAAAAATGAAGACAAACGATTAAGTACAGTTTAAGTACAGAATTTATCATGTTTATAGTGGGAGGCTAAAACGCAGACGACAACGGTGGTCCTTTTTGCCTTGGAACAGACGTTTGAGTACATCACGACTGACTGTACCTTCAATACTTTGCGGATAAAGGCAGTTTCAAGCTAAGCAAAGTCCCACTATGTCATCCACTGTTAGTTGCCAAACAATACTCCATTATATTGCGTCATACGGAAGATACCTTTTGTATCTCTTGCCATTTGAAGACACTGAGTAGAAAGCTTCCAGTGGTAGAACCCAGCATCTTCGAAGCGTGATTCGGTTGCTGCACAAGTGGCCAGTTGTTCCAGAACCCGAATGGCTTCTGTCTGAAGGCCACCCTTTGCAAAGGCTAGAAAAAAGAGTCGTATTGTAAAAACTCCAGTGGTGATCTAGTGAACCATGGTCTACAACAGTTATTCATTAAGCACACCATCATTATCATCCTTAAACGTAATTCAATACAACCACTAAGATTGCCCAAAGAGTTCTATTGCAATGTGAACAAAACTTTGACGGTTGTGAAAGCTAGAAGAATTCGATAGTTTTTATTGAGGACTCGTTTAGCTAATGGGGTCAATCGATGATGAATCATGAGGATGGTTGTACAGTTATTTCATCCTTGTTGTGATTCATTGGTAGTCTGCACGTCAAAAATGCTTGAGGGAAATACAAAAACCTGTTATTTCATTAATGTTCATACAGCTAAACGGTGGCACACAGTGGAGCGTCGACAGACCTTGCTCATCCTTGATATCATTTTTGTGTTTTGTTAGAAAGGCATATGTACCGAGATTTTTTCTAAAAGAGAGATCCAATAACTAGGGAATAAGTTCCACTAGCCTTCACTACCTTGAGACTGAAAAACCCATACATGAGGTAACACCTGTACAGAAAGATGAACTTATGCTTGATTTCGATTATTTTGTCACCCAGATTGTCCAAACACCGCCAGTGTTGTACAAACAGACCGCAACTTTGACTCATCAGACTGGTAAGTGAACGCTTATATTACCTAAGGTAGGATTCAGTCTACTGCACCCGACTTGACCTCATGATAATTCCTCCATTCACCTTCCACACAGGTCATCATGTCCGACGCTGGTATATTAGCGTGCGTGTGTGAATATGCGCAGCTGACCTACGTACCCGTGCACGTTCGTGCCCCGTTTGCTGAGACATGATTCCCATATAGTCGCACTGCCAATCAGAGTCAACAGACTGGCCTCAGGAGCGACTGCCTTAACCCACACTAACAAGACAACATTCCGTTCTCCGATCTTGGCACTGGACTGTGCTGGTCAGTGAGAGACTTGCGCACCTGTTGACGCCACGAACGTGGACAACTAAGGTATTGTATATATAGCTTCACTCATTTTTGTGTAAATAGTGTCGTAGACTTCTTCGTTTTGATATTCAGGATCATTAAACCTACACATGACGGAAGAATTCGTATCTGGAACCGCAACCACGCCAACACCAAACCCCAGACAAGGAGGACGTTTCTACATGATCCTCCTCTACACACTGAAGCCAATTTGCTGCGAATCGTTTGTGAATTTTACTCAAAACTGGGCCTAGCTGTGGATAACACAATTCTCCACAATAGAAAGGGCAGAACACTAACGAAATCCGACCTCACTTCATTCGGGCGCTGCGGCCGGGCGGTTTTAACAACCTCTGTTTACTAAGACAACGCCCGTCTGCTGAAATACCGAGACTAAGTAACAATCAGCAAAATGAATCAAGATTAACAAAAATGCACTATGACAAATACAGCAGTTGGGATGGGACACGATTATTCCAGGCTGAAAGACCTTACACTGGTCTAGTGTCGCCTTCAAATAACAGGTAGAGTGGGGGGAAATCAGCAGAAATGTTCAGCGTAAACTAAGAGGTTCAAGTACACGTGGTATAAATGGAAACACATGGATGGCAGCCGACTTCCCTAAAGAGGTAGATCGCCGTTCTCCACGATCATGCCAGTGAATTCCGTAAATGGTCCGTTACGCTTCGGCCTAATAAACAAAACAGTAGCTGATGTAAGTCCGCGTTATTAGTGAACCTCTCATTTGGCCTCAACACTGTTGCCATTGCTCGAATCCACTGGGAAGCTGCCTTTACAACAGCCACCAGTGCCAACTAATATCTAAAGCCTTTCGTGTTCCGTTAGAGTAGGCAGCTAAAACAAGTCTTCCACCACAGGCTGGGCGGTGGTGGTTGGTAGCGGGGTTTCTAAGATAGATCACAAATTAAAGAATTATGCTTTGCCCCTTGGCTTTTCAGCATAAACCAGCTTTGCAGGCTACATGAAGGAACATACTGCTCACGAGATTGCTAAAAACGGCCCGACAGCCCACGACCAGCAAATCAGTGTATATCACCTAATTTTAGAAACAGCTGACTTATCCGTTCACCGTTATACCAATTTCCATACAGTGCACAAATGGCGGAGCACAACCCTGGAGACAATGGAGCCTGTTTCAGACTTATATGTGGTCGCAACGATCAAATCCTCATTTGAATTAACTTTCTACTTGGTCATGTGTGCTCTACATATTTGGGAACCGACGCTAATGATAGCTAATCCTCATCAGACGGTAACTACTCACCGGCTTGAGCTTCTTCAAATTTGTCATTTTCCGCTAGCCACTGAGCATAGGGTAAATAGACGCGGCCTGTGTGTTCCGGATGTTTTTCCACCAAGCTGAAGGCCTGCAAATAATATGCTCTAGTAGAAGAGACGATCAATTCTGATCAGTTTGTCAATTTTATTTTACGAATTATAGTGTTAGTGGCAGAAGTTCAAGGTATCGCGGTTTTTAATTGACAGAAGACAGAATGAAGGAGTATGGGGGAAACCATGCATTGAAAGCATAGAAAGCTGCTTCAAAAAGAACTCGCGATAGAACTTCTTGTCATGTCGGTGATAACTGAATGCACTGAAGCAGTGAGCGGCGATCCGATGACGTTATGATTCGCGAGATCCAGTTGTTCCTTTCCCTGTCTTCAGTCAGTCGCCTGCTTCATGTCGGGGTCTCAAATGACAGTGCAAATGACTTCTCCGGTTAAGATGCTTTGTTGCGACATCACTGTCTAACACCCTTTGTAATGTTTCAGGTCATGATGTGACCGAGAAGAATGAACCAGAGAGACAGATATTAAACTGGTATTCCTGGTAGGTGAAGCTACTAGTAAGACCTGTGAGTTGTGATAATCCCATTTAGAGAAGGCAAGCTGCTTCCACCAAAAATCAATGTTCTTGTTAATTTACTATTCTCTTTAGAGCGAGAACGGCCAAATCTTTGGCTTATATAGTTAGAACAACAGCACTGTGAGTACTCAGGAGGCTGCACTAGTTCGGTACAGTCAAGGAAGCATCTGGATGTCAAAATTTGGAGTTTGTTGTAAACAGGTAACTTCTGTTACCAAAAACCATGCTACTTACAGTCACTTTGCCGTCGATTTTTTTAACCACAATGCATGAAGTAGTTCACTCACCTCTTCCCAGTTTCTTGCTTCCACGTGCAAAGCAAGTTGGTTTTCCACGTCTCCGTACCTTGCGTAGCAATCCGCGGCAAAAGCGTATTCACCGAGTCGTGCCAACTGCTTAGCACAACGTTCCAGACAATCCCGATTCCCCTTGTCCAATCTCCGGCTTATTTCAAGTAGCCTGAGAAAAGGGGAGCCGGCGAAGGTGATTAATGCAAAAGTACTGGGAAAACACATCTGCTCATCAGCACTTCTCTTAGAATATATAATGCAAACACTTGTCTGTCTGAGTGGTTCTAACACCATATCAACATACTCAGGTCATTAGCTTCTGAGAAGAGATGCCGAAAGACTACGTACAATAATAACTAGTCTATCAGAAGACTATTCCCTCGTTGAAAGCCACATTCTTCGAACAAAAAAGGAATGAAATTTTTATCATGTGCAAATAGAAACTGACGAAACACCAAAAAATATTTTTTTTAAAAAAAGAGGGATCCGATTTATTCAGATTAGATTTAGATTTAGATCTGATTTATTTGAGCAGTGCATCTGGCATCTAAACATCCTGGTTGAGATAAAAAAATATTCTGGAATCTGTTCGAATCCATTAATTGATCAGTCACATTGGAAAACCTGCCGTTGTCATCACAAGGTACTGACTACGCTGATGACTTTTTCCGTATCCTGATTCGGATTAGCCCACCTTCTTCGCCCAAATCAAGGATACTGAAGTGACAAAACTGGTTTATATATTCCTCAGGCTTCTATATATGCGTATGAGTCCAAGAACACTGACGTAGAAGCTGGTATTCAGCCAAACAAATTAACCTCACGCATAACGTGGCGCGGTCACGAAGGCAGAGCGGTTGTTCCCGCAGATCCATGGTGTCGACTGGAGCTACTCTGTCTTGCTTAACGTGTAAATCTATAGCATAAACCAATTGTTGCTTATCTAAACTGGAGGTAGCCAAGTTGGTTCGTAAATCGGTGGTTACGCAGAAGAACAGAAAGGAGAGCCAGAGTCGCAAGATTTTAGAATCCAGTCATTCAGAGCGTCCATACCACTTTTTGATATACTTCTATGAGATTTAGCGTAGAATCTTCGGAGCACATTCCAATGACGGCAATGACTGCACCGGTGTCATCGGGGTACGACCCTCCTAGTTTGCAACAGCCAGGGGACAAAACTTGTAGACACATTTTCTGATATATGTCAGGGTCACTAATGTCTCTGGCTAGTGACGTTGCACACTGCTCTGGTTGTTGGATGCTTTGAGCGACGGTAATCTCCACTGTGCGATTTACAGTCAACGGATGAAACAGCATATAGATCACTGAAATTTGAGACACCAATTTCGACTACTTTACTTGGAATTCCCACTAACAAATGTACATCCCCATAATAACCCAACATTGAGATTCAGCCCAATTTGAGTTCCTCTAAAATACTATCTACTTGGTTCCTACACTGGGACATTTCAACAGAATCTTCCAAGGTTGGTTTCAGGGGAGAAATAATTCACCCTGACCTTTTGGTCTATTGTCCGCTAAGGTCTTACGTGTGTCAGTTGTGGAATTTGGAAGATGAGGTGGTTTATGACTTTTAGTCTAGAATGCTTGTGAAGCAGCTGACGCAAAAATGTGTTGGCAACTTCACAGGCTCCAATTATAACTACGTGAGCCCCAGTCCTCACATCATGCCCTAAGAGTTACCATGTACTTATTGTACAACAGCGTTGCCGGTTTTGACCGGAAAGTTTTATTCTGATTATGTGGATGCATGTATATCTTGAAGTTTGCAGCCGCTGTAGGTTAAAAAAGTCCAATGTAGTCACAGTACTGACAACACTTACACTGAAAACAGATGCGCACGCGTATTCAACAAACTTGGAGATGAGGATGGTAGAAAAATAGTTATGGATGAATAAGAGACTATATTTGATCCCATTTGGTGGGGTTTTGCGGCAATAGCATCAACTTACAGTAAGTTGCAGATACTCACAGTGGTCGCTAAGATATTACTGTCTGTATCCAGAGCACCGAACAAGAGATGGCTCAGTAGTTAGGGAGCCAATTTAATTAACCGGAAGGTCTGTGGTTCGAACCCGACCCCTGCATCTCGAGTCTTCCTGTCAAGGCTTGGGCAACCTGTCACTATCTCAACCCTGGTGTTTCGGGTGGCCTGGCATGTAGGCACTGCAAGTGTGTTATAGCACACCATTCGCAACATTTTACAGTGTTATTACTTGAATTAACAATGTATGCAGTGTCAGTTAATACGAGCAGTTGAATTCCCTCATCACGATGGGTGTCACTCCGTAACGATGACCCCCCAAAAGAGAGGTCTTTGGTGGATGCTCACTACTGACCTGCTTTTAAACACTGTCACTTTTACTTTTCAGATAATAATCGTTTTGGGTTTTACAGGCATATGCAAGGAAAACAAGAGAAAAATAGTGGAACAGTCTTTCTTTTTCAAACAGTTAAACTGTGTACTAGTTGCAATCCATGCTGAACCACACGAAAATATTTATTACCTTGTATTGAGGTATAAATGCCGGTCCACAATTCATCCTCAGAAATGATAAAAAACATAGCTTCTGACTTCACCAAGTGGCTGAGATATTATATTCATGAAAAAGATTGCTAAAGCATATATTTGTAGGATATCTCTCCTGGGCAATTAGATAAAACGAATGGTTCACTTTGCCGAACTTACACATCCGTCCACCCGTGTTCCCCAGCTAGTTCGATGGCTTTGGCGAATTCACCTGCGTCCATGTACATTTTCGCTGCTATGTGATGTTCGTTGGTCGACCGTGCCCAATCTGCATGCTTGGTCATCAACTGTTTCTGTTCCTCGTAATCCCCACCGGGACCCATTGCCTCCCGAGCGTCGTCAAATCGTCGTAAATCGGTATACATTTCAACAACACGACGTAAACCACCAAAACCAGCCCCAGCCCTGGTGTATAGGGCGGCTGCTTCACTAAACTTTCCTAGGTAAGTTGCTACATCACCCATGGCCGTTAAAGCTCCAGGGCTCGGTGTTGTTTCGTTTTCAGACCACTCCGCCCGCCGGCGACGTTCCTGTAAAATCGGGATTTGGATTTCACGTGCAAGCAACTGCATCAAGAAACTGAAATACTTGGTGCCTTCTAGCTGCTAACAGAGTTGTGGCTTTTCCTTATCCATTGGATATAGTGTTTGATGCTCCACCAAAGACAAGCAAACACAGCTAATTTGTTTGAAATTGGCTCATAGGTACATTTATGGTTTATTTTCAATTGCATCAGATGTGAAAACAGCAAACAAATACCCGGATTCCCTGCGTTGCACGTGCCTTGATTGGTCCAATAGAGTCCGATGTGGGGTCAAAACAGTGGATAAAAATCCAGAAAAGAAATTGAATACCATCAAGAGCTACTGGTTTTTAGTCTTTTACTTTCTATCGAGTTTGTTACGCAGAGGCTGTAAATAAACAGTCCAGAAACACACAACCAGCGTTGTATTCAGATTGGTTAAACGGTGTGTGTGCCATCAGATTACCCATAGAACGCCTAAGATTTTAGCCGTGAAACGGCCAAACAATAAAACCGGCTACCTCAGTTAGTAAACACTGATTTGCGGACATGGTAACAGTGAGCTGACACTTGGATCACACATCACTCAACAACCTAAACTACCATGTGTCATCGGGATTCGCTTATTATGGAATTTGAAGTAATCCCAGATGTGCTTTACTGACATAGCACAGCATTCTGTAGCACGGCGCATCGAGCAAAAGAATGACAAAGTGTGGATCGCTCACCTCCAACTGCTGGATGAAAGCCAACATCAAGGGTTCACCCAGCCGAATGTAAGCATACTTTGCAATCTGAAATAGAATAAAAATGGATTTTTAAAATTCCCCTTCTAGGGGTACTTTGGAAAAGCATCCAACTTACAGCGCACACACTTACTTCAAGGTTTAACTTTGAGAGTGCTGCCTGACCGAGCGCAGTCCAGTCTGGATCTGTCAATCCGTGACATGACATTTGACGAGCCTCATTAAGATGCCCGGCTTCCAAATAATAATACATTGCAGGTGCCAAAGAAACTTCGACTCGACTTATTGTGTTTTCATGCAAACAATGAATGAAAGATCCACAGAATCCCACGACGACGCCCTGGAAATGGAATCATGCTAAGTAATCGGTACTACGGCAAATCGGTATACAACGCCTGTCGAAGAGTTGAAAACAAGATAGCGTCTTACCTTCACATGTTGTGCATAGCTTGGAAATAGACCGGCCTTAATGGATATGGAGTCGCTTCCGCTAAAACTAAGGAGTTCGTTGTTCGTCGTACTCCAAGCCAAGCTGACTACGTTTGGTTCCTGAAAAAAAGGCCAGTGGATGGAAGCATCAGTATACTCAATCGATTGCACCAAATATACTATGGGTAATTCTCCCTTTAGATTTCGCCCTGTAATTGAATTCAGTCTAAGATGAAAAGCCTAGATGCACCACGCAGCTGTTTCCTACTTACGGAGAATCACCAGTCGTGCACATCTCCCAAACATCCAGAGAGTTTTCAACCCGTGACCTCCCGGTTAGTAATTTGAACACTTGAATATTCGGCCGTGAGCGTCTGATCAGCATTGCTATCTATTCGCACATAGATGAGATAGCGTCATCCATTTTTCAGTCACGGCAACCACACCATGTGGTCACATGTTGACTGGTGCGAATGACGACTTTTAAGATGGAAGTCTCAATTGTCTTGTGACATTCCTCTTCCTCTGAGCTATTTATAGATTGCTAACAGTGTGAGCAAGCATTCAAGACATGACTACTTGGTGTGATTTCCGTGATTAAGGATGGATCGTGCCCCATCCGAGTGTGAATTAACGACAGTACTGGTTAGCCGTTCATGGTCGAACGAATACGTGTCCCAACTACTAGCCTGGAGGCTACGGGACTGATACTCCTTGGAGCTTCGTGAGATGCATACTACTGACGATTCTCAGTAAGCACGAAAAAGGTACACAGTGTTTGTCAGCTTTCAGCTTGAGTGATTTTGCCTACAGGACGAATTCTCGACTGAAAGTCTCAGATTCCCTCACATTATCAATGTAGTGATTATACTACTGACTGGGGAGCATGCCAGTAGTATGTTTTCCCGTAAATCCACTTTGCGTTTCTTGAAAAGTGAGATCTATTGCGAACCTTGTGGAGTCCTTTTGTAGCATTTTCTTGGATTTGAGAAACAGTCAGTGAATATCCATAAAAGTTCAGAAAGACGCGTTCAAAGAGAAGATGGATATTCAGTTTTTTGTAAACAAGATGCATATGAGAGTTTTGCTTCCCTATCCAATAGTCTGTAACTGTTCAGTTGACATTTCCTAATCAGTAACTCCACGGCAAAGGTCTTCTTTCTTTCACCAGTATTTACTATGAGTAAGCCTACAGATTGTTAAAAATGAAACATATCATTACTGACTATTGCGATTTCGAATATGCTTTCTGCATTTTCAGCTTTAGGTGGCTTATTATCCTTCGGCACTTAGGCGAGGGTGTATTTATTTTCCCACCAAAACCAGTACAGTAACTGCCAAATACTCACCAGTAAAACTGTCATAAAACTACGAGGTTGACTTCTTTTTAAAAAATTACAAGGTTTGCAGATAAGCAACGCCCGAAAAGTACCAAACACTTGCTCCCAGCTCCGAGTTCAACGATCTTTGGTGTATCATAAGCAACATTAATAAGCCGGCTGAAAGAATTCGATTCAGACACAAGCTACTTCTTGTCAACCATGAGACTAGCTAATAAGGAATTCGCGTCATGCTTAAGTTCATTGAATAACCAACTTGGATGCTTCGAACAAATTGAAAGGTATGAGTCGAAATTCGCAAAATGGACGGTTGGCTCACCTGGAACAGCATCTCCTTGCTTCGAAGGCAAAATACGCTCAGTGTATTGTTGTCATCAATCACTCCAAGCTTGTCTCTGTTTCGACTGATATCAACAAAGCGAATACCACCGAGCAGTTTGACGAGTTGTATAGGAAAAGTATTATCCAGAATAACTTTCATCGCCTGAAAAATTTGAGTGAAAATTGACACATTTGAAGTTTAGATGTACTGATCTGCCTGGAGAAAGTGTTCTCAGTTGGTGCAGTATCAGTCCACCAAATGAAAATGCGGTGGTCAACTTCCACACTGTCTCGTCTGTATCCACATAAGATGTAAGTGAACTTCACCATTTTAGCTTTATCACAATATGAAGGAACTCAGCGTAAGATGGAAGCCTAGGGTGCGTTTTTCCGACACCAAAAATTTGATTCCAGTATTTTTAAGTGGCAGCTAGTGGTTAGGGTGTAAGTTTGTCAAAAGTCCAATCCACCCGTTAGTAAACATCAGGTTGTACAAACAGAGAAAAACTGTCGAGCAGCAGTTACTGCGGGTGAGCAAAACAGCTATGCTGAAGGCTCTTTTCGTGAGCTGCTTTGTGAGTGCAAATCAGCTAGCATGTTAGAACTGACTAAACTCGACCGCCCATTCACGGTCACTGTTGGCAAAACTCACTTGCATGACTTAACTTTGACTGATCTGCATACCCGAAGTTTTGAGACTGTTTTTCAGTAGTATTTAGTAACTATGGTATCTTAACCGTGAGTTGTAGTTTCATCTGGTGAGTAGTTATGTGGACCAGTTGGACCGGTTCAGGTCATACCCGACAGTTGGACGTAGGGTATTCCGTTATCACAGCAATCCGCTTTAAAATGCATATTATCTACTTGCTAGTGATGTGCACCGATTCTGGGTGAAGTCAATAAAAGATGTGTGCACCCGAATGAAATTACAACGAAAAGGGAAAAGCATCACCCGATATCGGAGCACAAAAGACGGGATTATGAAAATGGGTTTGAATTATCACCAGGTATCACAAGCTGAGACAGTCGTAGGTGGAACAGAATAAAAGAGGAACTGAAAATTCGAAAAGCACCCTTTTAAGGAGATTCTATGTTTGCTGACAACCTTGTGGACAAGTATGACCCCCGATCGATTGTTGCGCCTGGAAATATTATCTGGGATCCGCATAGCGAACTTGCTCAGTTGCACGCTTCTGGAAGACGCCTCACTGAAACGTGATTATTCGGCACCTGGGCTTCATGGGAATAGAAGATCGGTAGACTCGGTGTAGGAAGACCAAATAAGTGCCAAGCTTCAAGATGAGATTGCGTGGTACCTGCAGAATTCTGAGTTTTACAGTTCCGGATGTCAGCGTTTCTGCTTTATTGAAAGTGCATGCACCTTGACAGGAAGATCCGAGGTCACCTGAGATTGTTAACCACAATACCAGTGATAAAAGAAGCATTTTCGTTGTGCCTTCATACCATACTTTCTAACAGCGTGTGCGTGCCGTTGACGGCACGCTGTGATCGAATGGAATGATCGGATTTGATAAACATGGCAACTGCCCGCTGCATATACTTATCAGCTATAAAAGTTTACATTGTGTGGCACTATCAAGATGCATATTATATTAAGACAGTTAACCCAAGTTGGTGCGAGCGACCACCATATGGGCCTCCTTACAAAGGGACATTTCACGAGCACGTTTTTCTGCAGATATTGCGGCTGCGCACCAGTCCTCTTTCCGAAAAGTTCTTGTTATACGAATCTCGTTAATCTCAGCAGAACAATATGAAATTCTAATAGTACATCAGTGCATGAATAGAACTAGCTCCAAAGATATCGTCCACTTTATACCAAAACATTATCGACCTTACTTCAGAATCACAGTAGATTTTCACCAATGCTTGACTTCCAGACAAATTGGGTAATCCCATTTTACTCACTTGTCCATTCTTTAGACCAACTAGCAATGTTTCACGTGTTGGCGGGCCACCAACAATTCGAATGTACCGAACAGCCCCGTCCAAGACCCACTCGCGTTCGCGTACTCCCTAACAAAATCATAGTAAGTGAACACTTCGTTAACTATTTGTTCAACTCATCCATTATATAACATCAAATAAATAAGCGCATTTCAGAAGCACACATTGTTGTGTGACGTTAGTCCCAGAAATAACTCGTTATTTTTAAGTTTTCACCTGATAGCACCAAGGTACAAAATATGTGTTTCAACATGGCTGGACTCGACGATTTTCTATAGAAACACTCCCTTGGGAGGCAGCCTATCTTTCAAATTCCAAACAAATATTCAACTGAATCATTTGGTTCAGTGTTCAAAAGTAGCCACTTCTCAGGAGATACATGTAGGTCATAATCCTGTTACAAATGTTTTGGAGGACTAGTATTCGTGCAATAGAAGATATTTCATAACGCGCGCGGCATCCACCTTCTACGAAATAAGCCATGGAGGTTGACTATATAATCACCTGTGAAGAGGCTATGAGTCGTGGCCTATTAGAATGACACAGGTTGACTGTTTCTGGTTCCAAAACTAACCTCAGTGAAACATTGAAGCCATTTAGGTATATTTGGCTTGGGACCCAGAATCATTCATACACAAAATTTACCACAACAATACTGCCTTGTTGCCCTGTGAATAAGCATTGTTTTCATATCGGTAAATTGGGATCTTTCCTCATTTGTTTGGACTTGTTTGGACTCGCATTCATCAAGGATACAGACGATTATAACGGGTCAGTATCAAATCACGTGACTGACCCTTCTGGTGTCAGAAACGACTTTAAAAGGCCATGAAACAAAAGTAGAGTGCCAGAATGGATTGCTACACGTATCCATTTCTCCACTGCAAGCTACCGTGTGTGAGATAGCGTTTGTTTTCATGAATAGCACGTCAATAAATTCCCCTGAAGATTACTAGAATTCTTCCTCTTTCTGGAGCCCACCGAACCTGCTTGTAAAAAGCAAATCCTGTCCAGACAGACGAAATAGCAGACACGAGCTGTCGGCGCTCAGGTAAACATAAAGAAATGGGTTTAAGCAGCCTTCAGTCGCTTTTTGGCATTTGATTACATTGTCGATTTGCCTACAAGCCAAACGCCGAAACCCGTACACAAACACAATGGGTTCATTAACAGAAAGTAACCGGCGGAAGTTCTCCAGTTGTCACCGATCTTTCACATCATTATCACGTGAAAGTTAACTATTCTCTTCAACTTCAGACAGATCATAGTTGCAACAAATTTCAGTGAGGTGTAGGTGAGTTTGGTAAAATACTTGAAGTACCTGAATTACAGCCGTGGTGATTGTGAGCATCGCTCAGCTACACTAACAAGGAGAACAATTTAGATGTCCAAAATCTTGGGACTTTCCACAGATCTTCATGTTTTTCATTCCGACAGACAATCAAACAAATCGTGCCAGAACATTCATAACTTTATGTCTTACTTGGAAGTTCATAGATGTCAAATGATTCGCCTTGCAGAAAACCAAATTATGCGTAGTTACCACCAGCAATTGGCAGTCAATGGTTTGAGACAATTTCTCGCGAACGCGGTAATGCATATCCGTCGGGTCATCCGTGGACGGTTCATAGATGAGTATTTTGTCAGACAGCTGTATCTGAAATGGAGCTTGATGCGAATATGTGCAAGGACAAACTTACGGCTAGACGATTCTTGTACACAGCAATTTTTCTCACATAGTCGCGACATTTAATGCGAGCTGGAATTCCAATTGACAGATAGTTTATTGGCAGACTCAAGCTGTGATTCTCGGTACAATGTCGGCAAACTAGAATATAAGCTTATATATAATATCATAAGCTGTAGATATGAGCACAAAAGCTACTTTCTGGAATTAGCCTCTCGATTTTGCAGGATTATAGGGCTTGGTAACGATGAGTTATACACAATGGCAATTAGTCGTTCCAGCAAATGTCCAGTGAAGGTGAGTTGGAGGTTCTTAGATAAGCCTGTAGCTCAAACCAAAAGAAAAAACCACCAAGCCAAAAATGACTTCGATACATCTCAATTACTTTATGCTAATAACAAAACTGCAAAGCAAACCTCAGGGTAGGGTGTTTGTAAAGATGACCTAAGTCCCCATTTTTTGGAAACTATCCAATATAAAATGACGTTTCGGTTTCTATTGCAGCTTCCGAAAATTGTCTATCAAGTCCATGGAAGTTATTTTCGAGTAAAAAACAGTTTTCTCGCGAATTTTTGCTGCCATCGAATTAGCTTTATCACCCCAGTAGGTATGTTTTGTGGGCAAACAGCTTTTATGGCCCTACGTCATCTGATCCTCCTATTCATCAAAGGTTGAGTTCACAATGCGACTTGCGCTCCATATAGTTACATAGGATAGAAAACTGGTCGCTGCGCACTGGAGATGTTACAATGCTTCCAATGTTTGACCACCAATGTCTGCGGAGCATTGCTTGAGCTTGGTGGGAACATAGGCTCAGTGGTGCTGAAGTTTGTTGAATGATTTCCGGGGGAAGTAACTCGACCAAAATGGACGAACTGGTCAAGCTACCTAGGTTGCGTTAGCCCGGTCATGCCAGTTGACCGACTTCATCGAAGAGCCCTTTTTCGTTCAAGCGAATTCCCTACAACTGATGGAAGGCTGGGGTGAGATTCGATAACCAGAAATCGTCCGAAGTCCCATGGGTGATAAAACAATTGTGGAATCTGATGAGACGGCGATAGAAGCTGCAATTAAAATGAGGTGCACGGTTTCCCAACTCAGTTGTGGAACAGTAAGAGTTACTGGAAATTTCCGTTCCAGACTGTTTTCGTTTTTCAACTTTAAGACACTAGCTTATGAAGAAAATGGGTGCACCATATAAGTTTAGCAGGGAAGCCTGATATTGGACAAAAGATTTTTGGGCATTCTGTGGTAACATTTTATCCAGAAGCAAAGAATCTGTAACGCTGCATTTTGTTTAACTTCGAAGAACTGTGCTTTTGGAGCAGACTGACTTATTTATTACCATAACGATACAAGAAATCTCACCTTTCTGCTGAGTAACCAAATGTTGCACAACTACATCCGTTAATGATTCCCGATACGCGTATCGATCACGATATAGACTATGAACGGTAGTTAGCAAAAGCTGGGTGGTCTCAATAGTGCCGTCCTGACAACCGACAACCTGTGTGTAAAAAGAAATAAAGGCAATATCCCACATATTTGTTCCGCGCGGAATCAGTTACGACTGACTGCTATCCACGAAATCAGCAGACTTCTAGTACGCCAAAAAAAATCGTTCAGCTGTAGCACACTTTCCGCGCCTAACTACCATGACGTCCAGAGGAAGCATGAGGGCTGGGATACTACCAGATCGCCCAAGCCTAAACAGGGGAAGTCGAGAGACAGAGGTCGGGTTCGAACCACAGACTTTCTGGTCAATAAATTCGCGCACTTACCACTTGAGCCATCTCTCCCCACGCCAAGCGGTTACCATACAACTGATATCTGGGTTTTAGCATGTTGCAAGCAACGTCAAACGGAGGAGAATAACGGATTAAACTTGTGCTCACAGCTACAATGCGTTGGCTGCGGCTGAATCTACTTTGTAGTACACTGGACTGGCTGACTGAAAAGAACAAAATAGCTAATTATGAGTTGCTCACAGAGTACCTCACAAAATGAGTACACCTTTCACCTGAAAAGACATTAGTGGAACAGTCTGTCAACACAAGACCACGTGATGTGAATTCTATGGTCGAAGAATGAATGGGGTTTTATCCCGCCCAGGGGAGATTTAACCATATTGATGTTAGAGACGCGACAAGATATGGCTGTTACTCGATGTCGAAGATATCCTTGTCATCAGTTTCTCTCCAGAATATCTGGAGGTTTGGGCACCTCGAAAGGATTATGGTAGGATAGCGCCACTTTTGTTAGTTCCTACACTGTTGAAACTTGAAATAAATGATGGTTGTACAGGAGCGAACCTCCGGTATTTAAACAAGGATGCTGGGCTGCCGGTGACGATAATCACCATTCATAAACGTAATACATTACTCCTGAGGATGAAAACATCATAAACGAGAGGTTCAGCTGGCTCCGAGGTGTGTCTTCTGCAAAACCAAATATATTTGCAAATGAGTGTATTTTGCTGATGCTGACCATTTGTTTTTAAACAAACGGTTCAGTTCGCAACTGCCATCAACAGTGCTTCAAGAGATGCGGGGTTACTAAGTAGTAACGAAGTTCTGTCTCCGGTAAACCCGCTTTGTCTGATGTGGATATCTTTGTTTTCCTCAGCCTCTTTCGTATCAAGTGTCGTTGTTAATCTTGACATTGTAGACATTTAAATAATTTCACATTGACAAATCCTATGCACTCCAAACCACCGGTTGTTGCGTTGCTTACTCTTGACCTCGTACATGGTAAAGAAGTAGATCCGCTTTTTCCCCTCAGTGAAACCGGACACTTGTTCCTGAACAATAGTCACTCCTCACTCATTTCACTGGGGACTTTCAGACGTCGTCACTCGAGGAACCAGTCACTGCGTAACCACGCGACGTGAGTGACGGTCTGTCCTATCTAAATGAGGGCTATTCAAACTGCTGATCGTAGACAAATTATTAAGTGTTTAATCACTTGCCGGAAGGTCGCGGACTAAAAGCGCCCTGACAAGTATTGCTGATGATTCCCAACAAAGACAAAATGTTGCAAGCATTATGCTTTGATTTGCCATAATTTTAAGATTTATAGAATTCGAAAATATATTTCACGAAGTCTTGCCGCTCTTCTTTCCTGAAAAACACCCATCAATATCAATTTCTTAGTGAGATAACAGTCAAATGATCACATACGGTGATGCAATATATCTTAAGGTGATAGACCTATGTGATCCCAGACGGCAGTTTCACAAACGTTGTGTAAATTCTATTTTACAAAGAACCAACACAACGAGTTCGTTGTAACCATAGCTAGATTGCCCAACTACCCGCATGCTGCCTCCACAAAATTCTGATCATGGTTAAATTCTGTGGACATTTGTATGTCTCGGAAGGAAACTTACTTGCAGTACGAACTTGCGAGTTTTGCACCTATAAGAAGTCCGACTACCACTGGTTGGGACTCACTGGCATAATGACATTTTAACAAGGTATTATAGTTGAGTCAGCCTAAATACATGTATAGAGTACTCATTTCTAAGTCCACTAGATGTCACCTAGTGTAATAATGTCCCAAAGATGTGGGTTGAATGAGTACCCGTATCACTCACTATTTGATTTTCACCTGGTCTCTTACGACAACACCATATCCATGACTGTTGCTGGTTAATTGTACAAAGTCGATTGCCTTCTGAACTGTACAACACACATGACCGATCGGAACCACATGTAGCCACTGCATCGCATTTTGGCCCAAACCAAGTCACGTCACAGGGGTCGAATGCCAAATTCCTATCTTTTCCAACCTACAGCAAAAAGTACAGTGAATAGTACAGTATGAAAAACGGGCCATAACACTTAATTGTGATCAAATCTTATTCATTTCCGAGTAAACAAGATAACTATGAAGTAGGTTGACTGCGTAGCATCCTCGGGTAAGGGACGATGATCTGAACCTTTTTATAAAATAGACCCAACTTTACCCACTGCTAATGTAGTGTCGATGAACTGGTGCAGGAGGTTGAACGTTTAATTCCAATCCAAACTGACCCGCTTAATCATTTGATTTCCATTTAAGGCCAAAGCTGTATCACTCATACATCACGACGATTGCGTTTCGGCTGCTATAGACTTAAGAGAACTAGTTCTCTCTGTTCCTACCAAAACCTTCACAAGCCCTTAAAGCTACATTCAAGTGACGTTTCGTCTGAGCTTCTAAATGAAAGTGGCTATAAATGTTAATACGAAAGATTCCAGCGTGTAGTTCCATAACAACCAGGTTGTAGGATATGGCAAGTGAGATAGCAGACATACATACAGCTATTGTCATAACTGTTTTTTCTTAGGTGTCCCAACTAAGTCGCGCAAAATAGTCTCTATCCCAGGACATTGCAGCCCATTGTGTAATTTCTTAACAGTCTGATTACCACGAACAGCCTGAGTTCTAAGATCATCCCTCCATAGCAGTACCTCTTATCTATTTTTCGGTTGTAAGGACCGGCTGCAATTTTGTCAATACATGGGTGAGTCGGATTTACACAACCAACCCAAAATAGGCATCGAAAATTCCCCAAGCCACTAGTAGAATGGGGACCGCATGTTGCGTGAAACACCCCCAGGGGAGATAGGACCTGTCTGCGCAATGGAAACACAACTGATTACCTGTTAGGTACAGCGAAAGAGTATATAGGGCGCTGCTTGATACCGACAGTTAGAAAAGAAAACTGATATAGACAGAGTAGAACTTGTAAACTGATTTTCTCACAGCAATGTAGGAACGGGTGCAAAACGTAAAACGCGAACTGAACATCCAAAAAACATTTTACTTTTGGCACAAGTGCAAGTTGTTGTACGCTATGCCCATTGCCATAAATAAGCTGAAACAGATAAAATACTCAATGCAATGTATTGCAATACGGTCACCGCGGTCACATTATGGTCTTTATCTGAAGTTGATTAAATACATTCAGATGGAAAACTTGACCAGGCACAGAAATTTCCCAACAAAATTTAGCTCAAGAGAATTGAGTGATGGACTGACACACGCATGTTTTATAAGAAGCAACTAGGGGGTTGTATGGTTAGACCACCAATGAAGACAGTAGGCCAAATCGTATTGTCCTTTGGCCTTTTGTGCGCACAAAGCCAGTGTGAACATCTCATAACCGCGTGTTCCGGAGAGTTTCGACGTAAGGCGGCTAGTTAGATAGTACAAGCGATTTCTAAAAACAAATTACGGCACGTCTCAGCGGACAGGTTTTACTGTCGCCTATCGGCTTTTGCAACTTTGTCAGACACAGAGAGAATGGTAAGTTTCATAATTATGTCTTGTATGAAAAACCGTAACATTGACTATGCTGTTCATTCGAGTTTATATTTATCTTCGTTAAAAACATAGTGTGGACGCTTGAAATAGAAATTTTTCCAACCTCAGGGTTCAAATATTTATTTACAAGCATTATTTCAGGTAAGGCTCAAGAGAGATTTTGTTTCCACATTTGGAGACTGGCAGAAGATAATCACGATGTTATTTAATTTGATAGGCATCAGGACATCGTTTAACTTTCGCTTCACATCTCCAGCGCCCCCTAAAACATCTCGTCACGCAGGTCCCAGTTTCTAAAACTGTTCATTAAAATTCAGAAAAATCCTGAACATAGCTAAAAGTTTCGCTGGTTTTCTTCTAGTTCTGATGCCTGATAAAGTCAGTGAACCAGGCAAAAAGGGAATGAAGAGAAGCTATTCTTTCAGGTTTTTAAACCGAGCGTGTTGGGTTACGTTATGATCTCTGTAGTTTCATGTTGGTGTGGCATTAATTTTGAAGGCAGAGGGTTCAAGGCATTATTGATAATTGGTTCAACCGTAAATAAGGCCAAACGTTGCAAGCAAGTCCCAGGTAGCCAGAATAAAAATGTTCATTGGTGCATCGGGCAGTTTGTCTGCTGAAATCACCTAGCACCGTATCTACATAGCTTGATCGCGTGGTGTGCATACCCAAACATTGCCCACGAAGGCAGTTGCTTACACTCAATTCTCTTTCAAAATATGAATTAAGTTTCTTTTGACAGACGGCTATTTTACTGAAATTTTTTTGATTGTTTATGCTGCTCGCCTTCCTGAACCATATCCCGGACGCACGAAGAAGTGAACGTAAAAAAAGTCTGTCCTTGTAGCTGTAAGATCTACAACCACACTTGAGGCTCGTAGACGTGTTTCGGAGACACAGCACACATCAATTTTAACGGCGTATATGGTTTAAACAAGCATTTTCTGTCATCCACTTTGACGTAGAGTAATGACTTAGGAAGCTGCCATCAAGAAAAACGTCATTTTTTGTTTTTGGTGGACGGTGTGGTGTATTAAGCACCTTGGTCAGACAAGTGCCAAGAACCTGATCCAGCAACTTTGCTTGTATGGATTGGAAAGGGGCAGTGTTTGTTGAAAAACGTTGGAAGCATTCTGTACCTTCAGGGTTCCCAGGCTGAAGGAAGGCGTTCCCTTTATGGACACTATTTAAACCTCGGACTCAAAAGTTTTAGCCGCCAGATAGCATGTATTAGGGTAACTTTGAAGACCCTGCCAGGAACCGGTGACTTGATGGTCTGACCTGCTAGGATGCAGGGGGGCTGACCTGACCCGTTGGTGCATGGGGTAAGACGTTACTGACTGAATCCGACGGCGGCTACGTGCAATAGGTAAATTTTTGGCATCAACAGATGCTCTGGTCGTAATTAATAGTGAGCCGGTGGTCACGGTCGGTCGATGGACGATCACATTCTGTGAATCTTGGGGCCAACATTTTTATATCTGCCGTGCTTTCAGAGAAGACGGTACAGCTTTTTCGCAAAAACGAACATAAAAGGCATCTAAGGAAAACATCTTACGGTGTTTATAATCCCAGTGCAGGAGACGGTATGATTTTACTAGTGGGTCGTCTTGATAAACGATTACTCATAGTACGGGGTTTCAGTACCCTTTCTCAGACTGTTCCACATTGGCTATTCTTACACGATCGTATAATGTAGAGAAAAGTTTCAGAAAACGTAGCTAGCAAGTTCAGTGAGACATTCGAGCTTGATCGACATGTTGATATAATAGCATCATGAAGGCCTCTTGACACAGTGCATAAGAAATCTGTTCTACATAATTTGACCATCGACAAATATTCAATAGTCTATTTTTGCTGGCTTAGAATTAATGTAGACGTTAGGGTATATTGCTTGAATCCGATTGAATACTCCAACCGAAAAATCATCAGATTGCTTTTGATGACTCAATTTACTACGTGCCTTTTATGATAACTAACTAGATATGAAACAGATGCCACTAGGTTATTATGATTGGCTGTGCTCCCGAAAACACATGTCGTAATACATATAAAGTGATATGATTGACCGTGGGTCATTAATAGGTATATATTTACCTGATATTGCGAATATGTATTATAATTACCTCTAGTATTAGCCAGGCTGCGTCAATAAAACCGCCTATCAACATATGACACATCATGCCAAACGCAAAAAAATCCATCTTTGTAGTACAAGACAATATTGTAAATTGGGGCCAAATGCGTATGGGGCGTATGCGCACAAGGCATGTAAGACATACCTGTTTTCCACAAAGCTGGTAAAACGATAACTTCTGATTCCAGTCCACAACTGCCAAAAGTTCTCTCTCACCCCTGCAATCCGAGTGAAACAACCACCCACAGTATGTATTCAAGAAATAACCCCTTTGCCAAACCCTTGAAATATCACACTTTACAGTTGGATAATCAAAATATCTACCGCCTTTTTCATACCAAAGTTTGACTTCAAAACAAACGGTCCTTGTAAGAAAACTGACATAATTGTGGGGCAATTCAGGGTATATTGTGTTCCTTCGTTGTTCGCCTTAGTTGCCGAGTAGTTTGTCCGATGTTTTTTGCCGTACAGCAGCAAGAGAATGAGTACACTAACATATTTTGGACATAGGTAGGCACACTATCTGTGACGTATCTTTGAGAAGACGATAATCAGCTCAGTAGGACTACACCTAACAGACACGTTGCACAACGTAGTACCCAGCCAAAGCTTCCGCATTGTTTGCAAGGCGTGCGTCAATCCATCCAGATCAGTCAGCAACGAACTATTGCAGTGGCTGAAACTATATCCATACGACATGGCGAGCGGATCACTTGTCAGCGAAAACGATTTTTGTGCATTGTATTTGCCACCCCATCTCCCCTCACACTTACACTCTGTGCTGAACACACAACCACAGCACTACCCGCACTGACAAGCTCAAGTCACTTCATTGGCGACCTGAACTAGTTGTTCTTTGATAGGTGGTCAGTGTCGTCTCCCATCAAATTTCCTGTTCACGTACGCAGCAAGAGATACACTAACATATTTTGGACATAGGTAGGCACACTATCTGTGACGTATCTTTGAGAAGACGATAATCAGCTCAGTAGGACTACACCTAACAGACACGTTGCACAACGTAGTACCCAGCCAAAGCTTCCGCATTGTTTGCAAGGCGTGCGTCAATCCATCCAGATCAGTCAGCAACGAACTATTGCAGTGGCTGAAACTATATCCATACGACATGGCGAGCGGATCACTTGTCAGCGAAAACGATTTTTGTGCATTGTATTTGCCACCCCATCTCCCCTCACACTTACACTCTGTGCTGAACACACAACCACAGCACTACCCGCACTGACAAGCTCAAGTCACTTCATTGGCGACCTGAACTAGTTGTTCTTTGATAGGTGGTCAGTGTCGTCTCCCATCAAATTTCCTGTTCACGTACGCCATTCTTATTCAAATATGTTAACTACTGTTCTCTTAACCTGTATAACTGTATAACTTGAAAAAGTCTTGCGGAATACATGTTCATTAACCCATTTGTGTTATTATAAATGGAAATGTTTTGGAAAGCAGTATAGTTTTTTTAATTAGTCAACAAAATTGTCTCACCGACCAGACACCCGCCTTCAGTTTGATCTTAAAACTACACTGGGGGTCGCTGGCGAATGTTGGGCCAGATTAGTTTGGCCAATGTTAGATTTAGTAAAGGTGCTCAAAACAAAACAGAGTAACCAGCATTATTATCCACCATATTTAGTTATCAGAAGGTAACAATGTCTCTTGTAGTCTTCAAACGTAGTCATTTCCAATATATGTAAAAAATATATTCATTGAGAATCATAAATAAACCGCGTGTTAGCAAAGTAACTCTCACCTCGTTTTTTAAATTTTCCAGTTGAACAGTTTTCATCACAAAAATACGGTGTAGAACAACATTTTGCTATGAGCATAAGCAGCTTATTTACTAGGTGCACTGAAATAACATGACGTGCAATACAATGGAAGAAAGGAGCCAGTACTATTTACCTTTTAAACAGTTAAATGGTAGATAAGAAACCTGGCCCATTCTACTAAAATTGTTCTCATGTGTGTGGGGCCAGCCGGATAAGAAACCGAACTGACTTAGACATTGCCTTACGTTTATGATCCTAGTGTAATACGTAGCCGTAAAGACACTGTTCTGTGTGTAACACCTCGACACGGATTTTACCATTTCTTCATATACACAGTTCAATGTGATTTTTACACGTACTTGATAGGACTCCATCGTAAACGCCAGATTATTGGTGATCCAGGGCGTTCAATTCTGGAGATTTCTTCGGTCGCCTGTTTCAATTAACATAAAAAACTAATCAGCAGAACAGAGCACAAGATTAATGTCTGACACCACTTGTGCATATCAGATATTTTGGAGGAAAACCATGAAGTTACGATATTATATTGCTAAATTACGGTTTAAAAATGTGGTTTCATGATCTTCTACCAATGTTCAGCTGAAGAGATTTTATGGATGCTCATAATGCATGCATAAAACTAAATCAATGTGGAGCTATAAGATGCTCGTCTTGACAGCTCAGTCATTTAAAGAAGAATAAAAGGCACGCGAATCTGCATAGGACAGCATCGATAGCCATAAAATAAACAAATGCGTGACATACGGGATACAAATCCAGCTGCTAATTTTATTTTCAGGTTGCACGTTATATTTATTACATTTTTCAAAAGAAATTGTTTCCGAACAAAGCCTTTTAGGAGATCAAAATGTGTCACTGCTACATTGTCGTCCACTTTGGGCTGACAGTGGCTCTATTCAGTATGCAACAATGGTAAGTTGTAAGTGGTTTTAGAGTCTGTATATTCCATGTGTACGTGAGTACAAAAATGAAATAATAGGAAAAAGCTGCTGGAATAGTTTGAGTAGTCCACTGTTTTTACCAACATGTGACAAATAACAAATATCCGGATAAAACTGGTCAAAATTCTTTGCACATCAGCAATGCATCAATGCGTTTCGCATTTTAAGTATTTTAGCAGTGGCTGCTCATGCAAAGGCCGTTTTTATCTTTGAGGTCGTAGAATGATGTCCGTTACCGTGCATTATTAACTCCTAACCAGTATCCCTCTAAAACCTTCACATAGTTCCGGAGAAAATGAAGATTCTACTATCAACTCAGACTGTATTTCGGAAACATATTTATCGATTACACACTCCGCACGTTTTTTGCATCAGACTGTTGAACATGTAAACATTAAATTCTATTCTTGTTCAAGATGGTCTCAGATCTTTCTGAAGTGTAAAAGGTACGACATTTTAAATAAGTTCTTGTTAATTGAAACCAGTTGACAGTGTTCTGTGGTCTTTAGCGCTATCACTTGTGAACGGTTGCTTTCAATTCGCGTCACTTTCTTGAATCAAACACTCTTTTGAGGCGAACTCAAGAATGGTTTAATTAGTTTGTATCAACTTCAAAAACAAAAACTAAGGTTCTTTTCAGATGATACATTGATTTGAAGCTTATATATAGTGACGCGGGAATAACTATGTATGAGCCGCTGAACCAATTTTTCTAAGCCTGACATAGCAGAAAGTCATGTACCAATTGCAAAAACTTCGCAAACAGTGCGTACGATTAATACTAATGGACTCAATATTCATGAAGCTTTTCTAGGCAGCCAGAAAGCGATGTATTGTTTGCCTTATCATCTGGTAACTGATCGTGTTTCAGAACTTTTAGAATTATTATGATCCTTCTGAACTATGAGTAGAAAATTTGGCCTCGAAACCTAAAGAAACTTCAAAAAGAACGCAGGTCATTTCCCAGCAGCCGTGTGGCAGCTTCCAAATTTCTACCACATTTTTTTCTGCTTACTTACGTGAGTTTGCGCCCTCAGCTAATTTGTTGCATCCCTATGTTATAAAAATGTGCCGTCTGTGAAGGAATGCTTCACCTAGTTGTCCATCATTTGCACACAGCTCACTTATTATCGCTAGAGTGGCTCTGCTTTAATCATCTGTAATCTGTCCATGGCGCGTGTTCTTTTGAGTCGTAAGTACATCACAACAGCCCTAAAAGTTTCAGCTCTGCTCATCCGCTTCAAAATTTTTGCGTATCCACTGTTCCGCTTCCTCTGAAACAGTACCTCTGCCGAGGACCACAAACATGGGCAGGTCAAACAACCAGATAGTCAGTTTATCTGTCTGTTTCCATGACTACCACGAAAGCGGTTAGTAATCTCCTTTAAGCCTCCTTAGTCTCAGATCGCTTATTTCTGTAGCAATTAGCTCCTGATGGACTCAGTGGAGTTACGGTTCGAGGTAGAACAAACATTCTGGTTTTGTGGCATAAGTCTATTTTTCATGGAACATCTCGTACGATGCATTGGGTTTGTTACATCGAATTACTCTGATATTTAATTACCTCGACGGCAATGATATTTAAACTGCTGAGCAAAGATGCATTCATACTCGTAGTCCAATTCGCACAACTGGCGGGCCTTTAGCTAAAAAGGTTTAGCTAGCTTAATTTCTATGTATTTCCCAAGTTTCAAAGTCTGATGTCACTTTAGATGCTGGACTTCTTCCAGCGTTGCTGGTTCCATTCAAAGCCACTTTCTGCCCACAACTTACAATCGATCCAACAAAAGCAATGATGAGGTCGCAAAAGAACGCGAAATTTGGCTAGGCGAATGATATTCCGGTGGACCAAACTTTTATGTCCTAAGAAGTTAGCGAATTTTACACATCACTTCTCATCCCTCCTAGTATCCGAAGAACGACTTCTACAGTGAGTTAAGCCAGCCATATTGGATTCCTGGCAATCTGAGTTGGTGAAATCTGAACCTAACTATCATCAGATAATTCATACCAACCCACCTTATTCCTGATGCTAATTACACCGTTGTACAAACCAACCGCCAGATACTGCCCGTCGAATTTCCAGCTGCAGCATGTTGCTCTGGTTGGGAGCTTTGTCTTCACAACAGATTCTTGGTCGAGGGTCCAAAAGGCTAGGCATTCAATGTCTTTCAAGTAAATTTTGTATTACCAAAGTCAGTGCATCCACAACTGGCTAACAGAAGCGTAGACGGATTGAATGCCAGGCTTTGAATGGCATCATTGTGTCTGCAAAAAGTAATTGGCGGCTTGCACCTCACTTATATTTCACAAGTCCTTCAAAAGAAGTTGCCTTCCAAATTATGACACATTTATCTGCCGAACCACTGGCAAAATACTTCCCATCGTGTGACCAGTCTACAGCATATATTGTGTCTCTATGTCCTTTCAGTGTTTTGCGCAGTTCAGCATCTTCTGCTGCATAGATGAGCAAGGAGGATCCTGCCGCCACTACTAGAATAGTGCCATCAGGACTATAACACAGATCCCGTACACTAAACCGAAAAAATATGTAATTCACTAATTACCATTGGACTATCCCCTCTTTGTTTTTTACTTTCGTACTCCATAGTTGAATAGTGTCCATGTTTTCTACACGTTGATACTACAGCAACCGATGTAAAACACTATTGAATTCCCTCACTAGGAGGTAACTAGATGACCTTTCATTTTCGTGGAGTAAAACAAAACAATCTGGGTTATGAATGGCTTTCAAAGGGGCCATTCAGTGGAAAGCAGTATGGTAGAGCTATTCAGATGATACACCCGGTCAGGCTCAGATACGTGTTCGAATTGGTAAGACACTTGGATTAACCACACGGGCTCATTAACCGCACAATGCTCTTAACTGCAAAACCTTTGCGAGGGAAATGACAATTTTTGAGTCGATATGTTACACTTTTTTCTCATCTGCTCAAACTTAATATGCATTCATATTTCCGCAGGTCACAAAATTTCATTGTCCACTGAAGCCAACATTTCCCTTGCAGAAAAGACTGGTGGAATAATTTCTTAACATGTCTGAGACCCCGAGATGTCTGGATGAGGCTCAAAAGTTTGGACTGTTACTCTGAACTCAATTGTCTTTCCGATTTAGTCAATCAGGGAGACTTCGTAGCTTTCGAAAATTTTGTACGATTATGCGAATTCTGGGCGCCTAATCACACAGTGGGTGTTGAGGATCCCAATACGGAACCTTGGGTGACGCGTAGGTTCAACAATCCCGAATATCAAAAGGAAGAATTGGGTTAGTAATTCTACGGTACTATTTACACAAAGGGTGAGCAAATGTGTACAACAAGCCTCAATTGTTCACGTTCGTGGCGTCAACCAGTTCACAGGTCTGTCACTGACCGGCACAGTGCGGTGTCAAGGTCCGCACACCAAACAACGGCGAGCGGAATGACGGCTCAGTAGCGTGGGTTGCAGTCGTTCCTCCCGACGACGGCCTCGTGATTCTCATTGGACGTGCGATCACGCGGAGCCTATGAGAAAACAAGTCAAGGCAGGCTCAGCAAATGAGACACGAACGCACATGGGTCAGTAGGTCAGCAGCGCACATTCACACACAGACACACGTCAATACACAAGTGTCGGAAAGGACGTCCTCTGCGGCAAGGTGGGTGCCGGGTACGAATAAGCAAAACAACTGGAGGTCAAAAGTACATAGGTGGAGTAAGCAAATGAATGGGGGAATTATCCTAACGTCAAGTTAGATTCAACAGTGTGATACCTCAAAGAAAGTCGAGCAATACCGAAGCTCGTTGAATGGCCGTCGGCCATCAAGGCTCTGTCATCAGACAAAGCATCAATCCGGCCATTGAAGTTGAAATTTTTGACAGCTGGCTACAACAGAATACTGTAGGCCTCTATAATTAATTGAAGCTCTTGCCATAAGCTAATTTGAGTGGGTTCTGTGTTGGTAGAGACGGTTTTTATCCCGTTAGTGAAGATGTGGCGATCTGTGGAGCAAACCTACCACATGGTAAAAATTTCCTATTACATTTATTTATTGTTGTAACTAGCGGTGAGCACCAAATGGGACACAGGGAAACATTTGGAATGTCATGCAAAGTGGCGTTATTTGATCCATACTTATTAATAGAGAAGCCTATGCCCCTGTTCAAAATGTTGGGAATGAGAGGGGGTGAGGTAACTTGCGGTTGACCACATGACACTTATCTGTATGCCGAGCTTGTCAGCAGTCCAAGTGATGTCATGAGCGTGAAGTTGGGTTTTTCTCAGAAGGCTTCCTTTTATCATGTTTTCTGTGTGTCATGCAACCAAGTGAGGATTAAGCTTTCGCGTATCACCAGTAATAACTTATTCAGATCTGCTTCTGCCGGCCCTCTGCAGCTCCGACAATTAGCGTGGTCTATCGGAGTCCATGCCAGGAAAATTTTTTATCTTATTATTTGCCATGAGGTTGTCTACGTAACCGCCTGGCATAGCACCATTAGCTCGGCTGTCTGGTTAGAAAAGCAAGAGATTAGTTTGCACACCGCATACTCCACTCTGGACTTCTCCCGCGCTCAAATAAATAATGGACATCATTTTTGAAGACCTAACCCTATAATGAACTGTAATACTTAAAAAATTACCCACAATTTTCTACTTCAGGCATCAGACCTCCTGCTGATATCAGAGCTTTCTGGTAATCCTTTTTATCCTCTTTCTCCCTGAGCTCCGTACACACCCAAGTCATTTTTCTGGAGAACGGCAGTCACCCACGCCACTCATTTAGTGTGCTTAAGAAATACCTTCATTTGCAAACAAATTTGGCTTTGCAAGAGGCTACCTCGAGCCCAGCCAAAGCTGTCGTCTGTGATGTTTCAAGATAACTAAAAGTGCTGTCGGAGAGCTTCCAGCAACCATATGAACACCGCATTACAAAATATTCCCCGATCCCCACTGAGGCCGTTCCATCATTTTTCTTGGCTAATCTTGACTGATTCAGTCAGAACTTCCACAATTTTCTACTTCAGGCATCAGACCTCCTGCTGATATCAGAGCTTTCTGGTAATCCTTTTTATCCTCTTTCTCCCTGAGCTCCGTACACACCCAAGTCATTTTTCTGGAGAACGGCAGTCACCCACGCCACTCATTTAGTGTGCTTAAGAAATACCTTCATTTGCAAACAAATTTGGCTTTGCAAGAGGCTACCGCGAGCCCAGCCAAAGCTGTCGTCTGTGATGTTTCAAGATAACTAAAAGTGCTGTCGGAGAGCTTCCAGCAACCATATGAACACCGCATTACAAAATATTCCCCGATCCCCACTGAGGCTGTTCCATCATTTTTCTTGGCTAATCTTGACTGATTCAGTCAGAACTTTCATTTTTGGGGCTAGCTATAGGTCAAAGTACAACGTCAAGATAAAGGGATATCCACTGCCGTGGCATGCTCTCGGCGGCCCGCTTTTCAGCATTCCTCCTGGATTTCTGCGATAAGCTGTCTGCGCCCAAAAGACCGTTTCAGTCCACCAAATGTGCGCCATATGATTATTGGGTTTTCCGCTTCATTTCTGACTTGCCGTGATCATACTTTCGTCCATTCCAACACAAGGGACGTGAGCACCCATAAGGCTTAGCCGGAATAACCATAATATTTTGCACTGAAAATCGGGCTTTCAACACTTTTAGATTTAACTGTATATTGTCAGTCCTAAGCGTACCTCTGATCTCACCGGTTAAGAACTGTTGCATTTCAGTTGACGACATTCCTTGTTTTATCATGGCAATAAAGTCACTCAACTCCTCCCAGGTGGTGTGTTTACGGATACTCCAACTAGGGAAAAATAGTCATGTTTCGGGTATGAACGAGTGATGTTTCACCAGGCAAAATGGGATCTGAGTTTCAGTGCTGTTTAAAAAATCCTTGTCACAGGAAAATACGCCTAGGTGAACTAATTTATTTACCTCTGTCTCTGGCTGGATTTTGAGGATCGCCTGCTTCACCAGTAGCACAGTCACCCAGGACAATTGCCGCTGTTCTACCAGGTGCGCTCTCAACTAAGATAGCCCCTTTCGTCGTTCGCCAAATCGAATCTTGACAGAATTGCGACGGAATATGGGCCTTTTTCTTTCAAACGTATGTGCAAACGTCGCTTGAGTGTAAACGTTTCCTCCTCAGCTCTGCTGTTTACGAGAAATCCCCATACACCTCGTAAAAATTGATTAAACAACTGATGACACGGGCGCGTGCTTTGTAGTACGTGAATTTGGGTGATTCGGGAGCATCAGCAGATATGGAATTACTTTAATGAAAAACCACAGGTATAGATCGTCTAGTTAGAGGTATATGTGAACGGAAAATGGTAGCCAGGCAGAGTGTATAACGACGAGTTTGGAACAGCTGCCAGTGAAATAAGTAACACGTGAAGGTGGCCGAATGGATTCAGGCCACCAGAGGCAGGTATGCATGGGAAAATGTTCCATTGAACGGAGTTTACATTTATAAAAACGTAAAGTTTGGTAGAGGTCTAGGATGGAAGCTGGCCACGGAATAAGCCCGAATATTGTTGGGCTTTCGTTGAAATGCCCGACAACAATAAACTGGCTAGGATTATCAGTGTAATGCTAATGTGGTGCAAAGAAGCACAGATCAAAACGGCATAAGCCGACTACTTTTTGAGGAGTATAGGAAACACTAGAGCAATTCAAGGCCCGGGCGTCGGTTGTAACCATGGCGCCTCGTGTTTTGGACTGAGCAAAAGCCGGACAGCGTAGTCAAGGCGAGGATAGTGGTGTTGGTTGGGTTGGGTTGGGTTCGTAGAGAGCAAAGACGCTAGCCGCTGGACTACTTAGTAAGGACAGTAATGCGGCTGGTTGAACAAATAGCGGCGGGAATTCCCATCTGCGAATGGTGCAATCACCAGCTGCGCATGCCTGGTTTTGAAGAAAATGATGGGCTTTCGCAATCTGCTTGTATGAGACCATCTATGGGAGATTAGGCGAGCCAGGTGCGGAGCCACCCGAAAAAGGCAGCGTGGCAACAGGTAAACCAAAGGAGCCACAACCATATTACGAATACGCATCGCCCGTTTTTAAGCAAGTGATATGATAGTTATCATTCCCCTGTATTTCAGAGCGGAGCAAAATATATGACACGGCAGAAATAAAACCAGACGGTAAACTACAGGAAGGCAACAGCGGTGCACTTTCATGCATTTCTTGAAATAAAGACCAGCCTCAGAACCAACGGTGATGGACGAAGCGTTTGCGCTACTTAGGGCGTGGCTGGTATGTGACCGTACTCTGATGTTACGCGCCGAGCCGATCTTCTGTGCACATCGTATCCAACCAACAATTTAAGGTTTCGTCCCTTTGTGCACGCTGTAAGATTCGCAAGGTGGAAATCTGTCAGAATGCCATAATTTCGCGTAGCGCATTGGAAAATCACCCCGGCTGACAGAGACTTTGTTTGGCTAGGAAAAATGCTATACCGGTGGACAGCTGAGTTATTTTAAAAAGCAGAAAGCTGCTGGAATAGTCGGGTTACTGTAGGGATAAATGGAACAGCGACTAACACTGAGGCTATCGGAGTAGAATGAGGATGTTCAGAGTGTGCGTGATAAGGTCAGACAATAGCACAGCCGCCCTGTAAAGCATAGAAGCACTGCGGTGCTGCATGTATGGGTGAATGAGTGGTCCGTAGAGACAAAAAAGAACTTCAGGCATTGCGTATCATCCAGCCGATTTTCTCTCAGGGCGCTTGATCAAAGAATGTAGTATGACTCTCAATCAGGAAAAACTATGGCTCTTTTGTATTACCAGTTGAAGCTGAGGAAAATCAGCACCTGACACTCAATAGAGCTGCCAAATTTGGTCAGTAATAAATGCCAACTAAAAAGAACTCGGCTCGCCTTGTGTGGGCACAGAAGTTTAGATACGAGTGTATAGAAAACTAGCGTAGGTTATGAAAGAATGGATAAAAAACTGAGATGGCAAGTGTTGGAAGATTTCAGTAACAGATGAGCATTCTAAGGAGGTGAGCTCAAGGCACTGTGTGGAGGTAAAACAATCGTCTATTTGTGATCTGGGAAAATTGTGAGCGACAAACATATATTGGAATAAAACCCCCACCAAAGTGCATTATGATTTAAGAGTCTAACAAGTACACACTAACATACAAACGGGATTACAGTTTAAAGATGACCACATACGTCAAACATGACGTCCGTCATGGAGATATCCATAAACTGAAGTGGATCAGCAAAGCAATGCCACGGCAGTGCTTTACCCAGTTTGAAATGA